TCCTGACGGAGGTACCGTGTCGGAGCTCCAGCAGTTCGAGGCCGCCTCGCGCAGGAGCAAACAGACCGTAGCGACCGTCCTTGGAAACCTACCACAAACACACGTACACACCTGGCTATAGCTTCATTATCCGTAAGTTACAATAGGAGGTGAAAATAAGAGAGAAACAACGTACAGAAAGGCTACAGACTTTAACACAAGAAAAAGGATAATAATAATAATAATAATAATAATAATAATAATAATAATAATAATAATAATAATCTTTATTTCTACAAGTACATGTACAAGGTATACAGGTCTAGATGGCATCAGTGACATACTACAATACAGCAAGCACCTTGTTCTACAGAGCATTTCGGGCAAATTAGGTCAATTTTGTCCCAGGATGCGACCCACACCAGTCGACTAACAACCAGATACCAATTTTATTGATAGTGAACAGGGGCAGCAGATGTCTTAAGGTAACACGTCCTAATGTTTTTACCTGTACCGGAGATCGAACCACGGACCTCAGTGTGTGAGCTGAGTTCGCTAGCTATCGAGCTACGGAAGACTTTATTCAAATTATTAATCCCCGAGAGTCAACGACCCAGGAAAGCTAAAGTGTTCGAAATGTTGTTCATACTTTGTACTTTTAATGTAATATATAGGAGGCCTGGTCACAGACCGGGCCGCGGGGGCGTTGACCCCCGGAACTCTCTCCAGGTAAACTCCAGGTAATGCTCTGAAAATTCACTTTTAACCCTTGATCGTGGAACTGGAATTAGTGAGAAACTCATATGTTACAATGTAAAGCTTCAAAATTCAAGGGTCGATGTTTCGAGAATTTGAGTCACAATAAAGACGCATTTACAACTTTAAGTCAAGGGACTGATTACCTTTTATCCAACCTTAGAGACTAATTGCCTTAATATTACCTCTCTGTTCTTTGACCGTCTCTAGTAATTATAATCGTGTGATTCGACTAATGAAAACTGCTGTTCGGGCGAAACGTTACGACCATAAAGATAACTAAGTGTTGCCCGTGTGTCTTATCAACTTCTCGGTACTAAATACTGCTTATAATATGAAGCATGAGGATAGTAAAATATGGAATGAATAAGGAAGACAAATCCTTTCACTATCTCACAAGTAAAGCGTAAATAAGAGAGTCCCTGAGTTGGAGCTGAACACTCACAAACTCACCAAGACAAACACAGCTAGTTACGTACCTTGCCTCCCCATTTGGGTATCGATCGCACAAACTTCTTTGTTCGTATGTCGACAATGTTGCCTTTATCCTGGTCGATGAGCGCCACCTGGGTTGGCTTGTTGGGTAGGGGCACTACCAAGTGAAAGTCCTTATATGCTGGGTACTTGAGTGGCATTTTGTGCACCAGTGTCCCCGTCCGGGCGTGGTAGATTAACAACACGTCCTGTGAAGGTATTGACTGGAATCAGGTGAGTCTTTCATTAATAAGTAGCAGATTCTCACTTCTCTTCCGGCCGGCTTAACATTCCAGAGTGGATTCACCACCTACTTTACACTTACTTGTGTAAATGAATGTCATTAAGCATTAATGGTTTCACTGCAACCTTCGCTATGACTCTCAACCTACAGTGGGCCTCCCTTCATTCATTATACCTCCACGTCTATGCAGTGCCTCTGTATTATCACTGTGTATCTCTCTTTTCACTGTCCCTCCCTCCATTCACCGTCCCTCTCTTTATTCACCGTCCCTCCCTTTATTCACCGTCCCTCCCTTTATTCACCATCCCTCCCTTTATTCACTGTCCCTCCCTTCATTCGCCGTCCCTCCCTTCAGTCACTGTACACTTTACCTTAAAATATTAATTTAATTTCGTAATTCGTGCCACATTTTAAATTAAGACATAATTACGTTTCTAAGCTTCGTGTTATAAAGTTTTCACATCAGTTTTACAATCAACATATTCCTCAGTAAGCGTTGGATTTTTTCTTGAATATATTGTCTTGACTTACGTTTCGATTTAGAAATTATGCAGAGAAGTGATCAAGGTTCCAGGACCGAAACGTTTTATAACAGACCACTGGTCTAAATAGTTTGATATATGGTTATTAAAACTTTCTAGGCCCCAAAACTGCCTAGGATCTAACACAACCTAGATGGTAGAACCCAGTTTTGCCCACCTTAAGACCGTCGACGGAAGGGATGACAAGGAAGAGACCGTCTGCCGTCACGGCTATCTGACGGAAGGATCGAACTGGATAGTCGAGCTCGTAAACTACCTGTCCGCACGGGATGGAACGAGTCACCAGGTGACACCACAGCTCACCTGACTCCATGGACACCTGGGAAGGTGAGAGAGAGAGAGAGGTTACTAAGGTGGCACTATGTCACCTGTCTTCATGGACGCCTGATAAGCAAAGATAGAAAGGGAACTGAGCTAATTTCGTTATGTAGCGAGTTATATATCCACCCTGACAGTGATGTGACGGTCTTGGACGAAGCACATCAGCGTTGCTTTACCTGGAGACTGTTATTCTACGAAGTAACGCGCCCTGGAGAATCATGCTACGAAGTAACGCACCTTGGAGACTGTCATGCTACAGAGTAACGCAACGCACCTTGGAGACTGTGACACACTTGGTGTCGTCATCAAGCAGCAAGAGTTGTTGGACGTTCTTCTGCTCCGCCTTGAACACCACCGCCTCGGCCCGCACGTTCCAGATCAACACGTTCCCTGACTCCGTCGACACTATGTACCTGAGGCAGACACACCACCAGCAGCAGTGAGAGAATTATGAAGGAGAGGGCACACGGAACGTAGATGATGAGGATGATGATGAAGTAATAATAGCGACGATGAAGCAAAGCGGCAAAGACGGACGAACGAAAAGAATTGTTAAGCAGGGTGAAATTAAAGCAAGGCACATAAAGCGAAGCGTTGTGGTAATAAATGAGCGGAATTAACTATAATGAAAGAGGGTAGAGGCCAGCATTATTCACGAATTGATCAATAAATACGGCAATAGATTAATTAACAGGACGTTGAAAGACGGCCAAAGGAACTGAAAAATAAAACTCAAAATCTGTCAGGAAAATGCACGAGCACACACCACACACACACACACACACACACACACACACACACACACACACACGCGCACAGTAACTACAAAAAAGCAATCAAAAAGGGCATGCTGTTGTCTTACCTACCTGCTGTTGCTGGTGATACCAGCGTGGGTGACAATAGCACCGAGGGGTGAATCTGCCAGCTTGCTCACTAGCTTCCCCAGACGAAGGTTCCAGATGCCCACACAGTTTCTCGTCACCGTTACAGCTATGGGTTTGTCAGCAGCCAAGCTGCCAACATCAATATCTTGAAAACAGAGATCAAGACCCACAAGGTGTTTGAACCCATAATCTAAATGTGTGTATGACACTGACTATTGTATATACCAGTATGATAGGGACTACTTTAATGGTTAATATCCGGTGTCTAACCCTCCCCAGTACCTTTTTTACGTGCATGCTTTATATTCAAAGAAAAATATTAAATCCAAAGGGGTCATACAACACCTATTGAATGGGAGTCAATAAGGTTTCATGCAAAGAAAGCGAGGGGCAACACCAATATCTTAGGTCAGAGTCCTTCGCCACCATCAAGGCTCCCCGTGACGGGTATGTGAACATAAACATAAGAGCAGAAAACTAAAGCAAGATTTTAGAATTGTAATCGTCAGCAAAGTATAATTAGCTCTCCATCAGAACAAATGAAAGTTCTGGTAACCAGGCACTGGGAAGAGGATACCCGAGGCAACGTACAACCTAAGCTTGAAGGAACTATGTATCAGGCATGGAAGAAGCTACAACGAACAATGTAAATAAGGTCAGGCTAGAATGGAATGAACCAGGAACCCATATATGAATTCTATAAACCAAAATTAACCAAAGAAATATAAGAAAGAAGATCTGGATATACGTAAACCAGACTAAACAGGCGACAGGAATGATAAACAAGAATAATGGATGTTAGATAGAAGACCCGAGACAATGTATCACCTGAGTACAGAAAAAATCACGAGATTGAGTCAAGAGCCCGGAAGCGGACATGCTTAACCTGACTTGCGAAGTAAACGAACAGGGATATTCATCAAATGCCTAAGATCAATCTTTGAGTATACAGACTCAGTGTGCAGTCACACCTTGGCAAAGCATATGACGGAGCTAGATAATATGTCCTCGCTCTTCGCTATCCTCACCTGATATCGTCGACTTGCAGCTCATGACGATCAATGACGTGCACTTGCTCGAAGATGTTGTTGATGTTCCACACTTTGACTGTCCTGTCCAGCGATGAAGTGATCACCTGAAGGAGAAGGAAGATGTTGCTTACCATAACTGTGTGTGTGTGTGTGTCGAATGCTCCTCCCTGCAATGTAAGGGCAGACGCACTAAAATACACCAACTTCTATTTAGTAGTAGTAAATAATAATGTATTTTTTAAAAGAGAGATTAATAAACATATTATCTATCACTGTGAGCTAAGAACTACAGGTGTTGGAACTGCACTGATAATGAGCTAAAAAGGCACCAGGATCCGCTAGAGCTTTGGTGAGCGAGGATTATGAACAATCTAGATGGGAGAAGAAGACCTGAGTTGTAGGGAAGCGCGACAGTTATACTACAGGTGTGGCATAATTGTGTCAGGGTTTCAGGTCTGTATGCAAGGGGAAGTAAGAGAACCTGTTTGAAAGGGCAGTGTTCAATCTTTCAAGGGCCATGGAAAGACTAGTTTGTAAGACCCCTGCCTAGTAGAGTGCGTGCTAAAGATATAGCGATCAACATACTAGGCGGTGCTAGATGCATGCTAGAAAGGATGTGTTAGGAAGGTGCTTGTGACATACAGAGTTCCAGGAACCGACGACAAGTGCGACCATGTCGATGATGCGACCGAAGTGAGCATCAAGGACCTTGAGAAGTCCTGAGTCTTCAGCTCCCACACGTAAAGACTCTTCCTGCAAGAAAACAAAAATAAAAAATTAATATGAAATGAATAACATTTCTGAAGACTCTTCCTGATAAAAAAAATAAAAAAAATTAGCAATGAGATGAATAAGATCTTTGAATAAACAGCGCATTAAATAAGCCACAGTAATATCACTAGAAATTTAATACACAAATACAAAAAGTTTGAAAATATACTCCCCGGAAATGTCTAGGCCACAAGGTGGACAGTTTTAATAATACGCGAACACCAAAGAGGTGAGTCAAAACTGTCAACTGTATGAATCATATTGATACAGTCAGAAGAGTGGAATACAAGGGTAACATACGACGCCAGCTTGTTGCTTGTCCTGAGCGAGTCAGCAGTTTTGTCCTGTGACTGATTAATCAATTGTTGTTATGACACCAGAATATTTCGGTAATGATGTCTGTATAAGGTAACGACAGTATGTAAGGCTATGCAAAATACCAGTGAATCTCAAAGTATAAACAACGAAAGGTTTACATCTATCGGTGTCTTCACACCGAGTTTATATCTCAGCATTAAAACACTTCAGGTTTGCTTAAATTTCTAGTTTAGGGATCAGTCATAATTGTGATGTGTCTTTAAGCACGGATGAAATAAAGCCTTAATGACCAGTTTGCAGTAAATTGGCTTTAAGCCTTAAGAGGCCAGGGATAGAAACTGCTGCTTCACAGTTAAACACTGGCTTACCTCAGCCAACTTTTGGTTCCAGGCATCAATCATATTAAAAAATGGGAAGAACACTTTGCATAACTCAGAATTCTATCAGTTCTGTGTTTAGTTACGTGTGAGATATACAGTAATATTTGGCCTTTTCCACTAAGCTGATTTGCGATAATTTATGATCTGTGTTGTAGATGATCCTTACCATCACTTCACCATCGACCTGGTCCCACCCAACCCACCACCCACTTGGTCGCACCGCTCCAACACCCACCCGGTTCTACCCACTCCAACACCCACCTGACTCCGGCGACGGCGTACTTGTATCCCTTGGAGAGAACGCAAGAGTTGGATTTGAGGAGCTGCGTGGAGATGTTCCTGATGCCATGAGGGAGTTTCAACGTCCACGCCTCGCCTGCCTCCACCTCCCACACCTGCAAGCAACCCACAACTGACCTACTGATTGTTAATACAAACAAGACGACGTTTCGTACCGTCATGAACCAATATCAAAGTTAAGGACGGACCGAAACAGTCTAAGGCAAATATAAACAAACCTGCAACTGAATATACAGATACATAAATAGACATAACTTATACATTCGAGCAACACGTCATTATTTAATAATTTTAAGTGCAACACAAAAGCATAAGTTAACCATAACATTTTATTCTAGTAGTTGGGATAAGTCACCTTAGTGTGCGTTGATCTTGTATTTTCAAACGTACTCTTGGGAGGAGGGGATTATTATTATTATTATTATTATTATTATTATTATTATTATTATTATTATTATTATTATTAGACTCACCTGGAAGCCCATCATGAAGGTACCGATGAGATGTTTCTGGTCGTCACTGAGGTGTAGCATCAGCAGCTTGTGGTCGTTGGGAGCTACGACCCGCTCTAGCGTCCAGCACGAGTCGTCGCGACGGAACAAGAAACGTCGTCTCCGTAGTCATGCGTGCACTAACCAACGACGACACTTGCTCATCTCACACTGTAGAGGTTATATATAAAGTAAAAGGCAAGTGCAACTATGTGAATTTATGGGCAACGTTGCCACATAAATGTCACATTAGTTGCACTTGTGTCCTTTTACTTTACATATTGTCGGTAATTCTACCAACTTTATTACAGGGTTAGTATAGCCGTGTTTGAAGAACCTTTTGTCGTCATTGACAGGTTGATAAATGAGACTCCTGTACAACATTTGAGTATCTTTATTCTGGAAACATTTCTCCAGCCAGTGGCTTCTTCAGTTCAGTACAGAGAAAGGTGGAAGACGAAGAGGAGTTTGAGATAATGAGTCCCTTAGCCTGGAGTCGATGTTTTCATTCCACCAAGAATGATGTACTGAACACATCGACTCCAGGCTGAGCGACTGATTACCTCTAGCTCATCCTTGTGTTCCACTTTCTCTGTACTGGACTGAAGAAGCCGCTGGCTGGCGAAATGTTTCCAGAATAAAGATACCCAAATGTTGCACAAGAGTCTCATTTTACATTATCATCGAGACGCCAGCCTTGCACCTCACCTGTTCACTGCAGGTATACTCATTCTACCCAGTTGGCCACACTAAAGTTTGACTAGACCCCTGCTAGGCGAAAAGTAACTCAAACGTTGCATACATGTTTATTTACTTAAATAACATTGTTGCAGCCTCTGCTTGCACATTCTCATGTCGCTTATTTACTCGTGTTTCGAGTACTACGGTAGCCTTGGCTGTTGTACTTTACTAAATCTAAACGACCATGTAGATAACTCAGCGCAGTGGGTAGCGGACACCTGATTATCCAGTAATAACATTAACAACGCCAGTAATCAATGATCACCTACATCTAAAATATTCTGCAACTTGCAGACAAATGGCGTAAATCCGACAAAAAGGTGAAAAAAGACAATTGCAAAGAGAAAGTTCATTGAGGTGTCTCGCCTGTGAACAGGTGCCTGCAGTCAGTGAATGAACACCCTTCCACAGGTGTCTTCAGTCAGGCCTTTTTCACTGTTTTGCAACTGTTTTGCCGTGTTTACCTGTGAAAGTCGAGGTTGGGGAAGGTGGTGTCCCCGACGACGGTATGGATAAGTAGGTCCTTATTGTCGAAGTCTCCTGACCAACAGACAAGGCTGTAGTCCTTGGGACTCTTGAAGTCTATGAAGAGGATTGGCTTGTCCACCGGCGACGACACTCGTTCTCGCTCTTCTCCTCTCAGTGTGTACAACACCCATGATCTAAGGAGGAAAATGTACACAGTGGAGTTGGAAAAAAGACAAAATGCAAACACTAGGACATTTTATTGGAAATGTTTTAGTCCTGGGACCTCGGCCATTCCATGGACCCAAGACTGAAATGTTACCTTCATGACCTGTGGGAAACTGACATAGTGTCATGCATAACTTGTAGGAGACGTGCACCTAGTGACGTACATAGTGACATACACATAGTGACGTACACATAGTGACGTACGCTCACGACCCACATGAAGCGTGCACACCTTCAAATACACTTGTGCCCACTCATAGCCTGCAAAGTATGTCTATACACACACATACAACCACATACACACTTCAGTACAACCACATACACACTCCAGTACAACCACATACACACTTCAGTACAACCACATACACACTGCAGTACAAACCACACACACACTCCAGTAACCCCACAACTCCTACACCACACACTGCAGTACAACCACATACACACTGCAGTACAACCACATACACACTGCAGTACAACCACATACACACTCCAGTACAACCACATACACACTCCAGTACAACCACATACACACTCCAGTACAACCACACACACACTCCAGTACAACCACATACACACTGCAGTACAACCACATACACACTTCAGTACAACCACATACACACTCCAGTACAACCACATACACACTGCAGTACAACCACATACACACTGCAGTACAACCACATACACACTCCAGTAAACAATACACACTTCCAGTACAACCAATACCACTCCAGTTACAACCACAACATCTCAGTACAACCACATACACACTCAGTACAACCACATACCACTCCAGTACAAACAATAACACTCCGTCACCACACACACACTCCAGTACAACCACTACACACTCCAGTACAACACATACACACTCAGTACAACCACATACACACTCCAGTACACCGAGCACACACATCCAGTACAACCAATACACACTGCAGTACAACCACAAAACTCAGACAACCACGACATCAGTACAACACATACACATCCAGAAACCACATAACACTCAGTAAACCAAACAATCAGACAACACCACAACTAGAAAACAGAAATCAGTACAACACTGCACATCCAGTACAACCACGATACAACGTACAACATACACACTCAGTACAAGCCATATACAACTTATAAATAATGATTGTAATATCAGAACATTGTGCTATTGCACTGTAGTCAAGACTGACCTTGTCATCCGTGTATGAGGAGGAACGAAGTCTGAGAGGAAGACTACCGATCACTATTTGCCCTGGAGAGGATTCTCCAGCAGGAGAACTCACTCGTAACAGTTGAGTACACGTCTGAACCCAAGGTGAGAAGGAGCGAGATGTAAGGTCGTTGTGTGTACAGAGAGAGGAAAAAGAGAGAGGGTACGGTACGGAGCTCTTGAGACACAAGAGAGAGATGAGGAGTAGTGAGAGGAGAGAGAGGAGAGGAGAAGAGAGAGGACGAAGACATAAATGTTAAGTATCATAGTTCTTTTGTTTAACCAACAATCGTATTATGCATGAGTCGATTAATGCTTGTGCGTCTTCACTGGTGTATTCAGTGTGAGCGATGAGTACTTGTTGTCTGGAAGCACAGGTCTGCATAATGCCTTTCATCCTGGCACCACTCCCTGTCAGGTCAGAGGTCGATAGGGCAGGTGTGAACTTGTAGAGACGCGAGATGTACGCAGTCGTGGGCAGTGGAGCCGAAGAACAATGGTGACCCTCTAGCGATACTGAAACACATCACAATGGGTCAGTGGAGTGACCACTGAGTAAGTTTAAAAGTTAAGGAGTGACATTGAAATCAAGTGATAAATGGAGCTGAATCGTGTGGAAAACAATTTCTTTCACAGTATTCACTGAGTTAGCCTATAAATTAGTGATACAAGTGATAATAGAGGCTGTAATGGACCGAGTCGCGGCGTACCAAACCTCCATGACTCAGGAGTCGGTAATTGATTTTCTTTAGAGGAACATCAAAAATTTCTATGGTGATGGTCAGCAATAATAAAAAAATCATACGTTATAATAATTTTTTTCTGCTCAAAATAATTCACATTCGACATTTACATGACTGAAATCAATATTAGGCGAATTATGTTGTCAAAATTTGGAGAGAAAAAATACTATATAGAAAACTTCAAAAGTTCTATCACGAAAAAAAATATAGAAATCCCTGATTTAATAAATATTTCAAAAATCATAAGATGAATTGACTATTTCTAATGTAACTTCGTAATTCTGTATTTTTAACATATACTTTTTCTGACGTGATTACTTAATCGTGAACATGTGTGTCTTTAAGTTCACGATGTAATAGTTCAACTGCTTCTTTGATTAAATAATGGGAATAAATTTGAGTTATACAAGAAAGAATGTGATATTATGAAATATGTCTTAATATAACGACAGATATTTGAAATAAAATCAGTTAAGAAATGCGTGCAAAACATTTGGGAATTTAGAAATCTTATACGACAAATTTATATTGTTAGACAAAACACCACGAGCATTATTCCTATGAGGAATTCCAAAAAGAAACACACACACAGACATATACACTCAAATGTAAACACGCGTACACACGACTATCACCTTGAGGGGACCTCCAGGTGTGTGGCTACAGTGGTAGGAAGGAAGAAGACCACAGTGTTCGATGCCCTCTGCGTCACACTGTTCCAGGAGGCTCTTCACGTGTGGATTGGCCTCCATCTCCGGCAGAAGACGACCTATGAGCTGCGGTGCCAGCATATCCGGGTACTGTGAGAGGATGGCGCCTCCCAGCCTCAAGGCATCAGCCACCAGCATCAATTCCCTGCAGCAGTCGTGGAGTGATGGGACGCAGGTAATGATGGACGTAAAAAAGCCAGAGGTAATGAGTTACTGAGAACTAATCTAGTAACTTCACACACGCAAGACCAACACTAACTTCGTCAGGCAATATTTGTGTAAAGTCAGGTCTGTGAAATTGTGTTCGCTCGTGACTAAGCAGCCTTAGTGGTGGTTTATCTTTGTGAAGTCACCAGTCCGATGGTCGGTACTTCTGACACAATGTTACTTTCACGATTGTAAGAAATCTCAGTCCAGGTAAGGAGGGACGTGATGTGAGGGAGAATCGAATAGGATGTAAAGGGACTGACTGAGGCTAGTGGGATGTGAACATAGAAGAGGTGAGTGTTACACCTCTCAACACTAACAACCCGCTATGGACTCTGTTCTCGGACTCACAAACAAAGCTACCACTAATCTGTGTGGTTAAAAAATTCCAGTTAGTTTCTTAAAGCTTCAGTTGTGTAGTCTATTTCTATATATCTATGTGTAGCAAGGCAAGTAAATCATTACGGTAATGAGGTTATATTAAACTCTATGGATGAATTAGCTATCAGTTTCTATAATGGCTCTTTTAGATCCTTTATTTACATTATTAGACGTATACAATTGTACAAGCAAAATAAATTTATCAAGACGTAGTTATCTAGAACTACTGTTTGGCTTAAGGAAATCTTGAAGGAATGAGTTATCCTACCTACGCCAAGGACCTTCCAGGTGTTAGGAGGTCAGAGATGCTGAAGGGAAGCTATTCTTGTGTGACTGCGTGACGAGAGAAAATATAAAATGAAACAGTCATAACATTATCCAGATTTCATCTCAGTACTGATGGTGAGTCTGGATATTCAAGTGTGTATGAGAGATCAGCAGAACTGTATACGACTGATCCAAGAAAAGTAGCAGTGAGCTGGAAACTTTCGTACTGCAACTAGTCAGAGTGAGGCAGTAGTGGAGTCCACCGTCGTCGCAGCCTGGATGGTCAGATCAAGGCAGATATTGTTATGGAGCTTAACCTAACCCCAACCTCAAATGTGATTGGTCAGATGAAGCGCCACAAACCCTACTTTAAATCGTCACGATAAAGCAGCAGTTTGGATAATTCACTCTTTGATGAGCTTTACTGAAGAAAAAAAAGATAAGACCTTGCGTTATAGAGAAAAATATAAATAGAGGCTGCAGTGTGATAGCAAGTGGTCAACGATGATGTCTGGTACTCGTTAACCCTAGGTGGGCTAGCTGGCACTGGCACCTCCTGGGGTGGAGCAGTGTACTGCGCTTGTGTGGTGAGGGCACTGCACTTGTGTGGGCAGGCCTGAGAGTCAGTATGTACTGGGTGTCCACTGCAGGAGGGAGACTGCAGGTAATCAGTGTGCGGGAAATACAGAATGAAGAGCGTCCCTTCTGAGGACGTAGCGAGAAGAACCAAAGTCTGCAGAGGAGTGGAAATCTTGGGTTTTTCAAGTGCAGAGAACAAGATGTTGAAAGAGATCTAAAATTAGTTCATGTAGACAAATACAGAGAGTTGAGATTAAAGATCAGAAAACTGTTCAGGTCAAAGAAGAACACTAAGTGTAAAAGTACTAGAACTTGACAAAAAGAATGAGTGACCAGAGTGCAGTTGATGTAAACCTCTTCAGACAGCTGAGAGAAATACAGTCTCGGCAACTGATAACGAGAGAGAGAGGATAAAGGGAAAGAGAGATGGAACATATTCATGTCCAAGGAAGAAGGAAACAGTACGATATATAAAAAAAAGGAAAGAGACAAGATAAATTTGAAAAATTAGTCTGTTAGAATGTAGAGACAACACCAGCAATGTCTTCGCACAGGAGAACGAAAAGTTTGAGGGTCAGGTCTGGGGTTTGTCTGGAGCGAGACACATCATCCGAAGAACTAGAAATCTTAAAAGGGGAGCACATGACCGAAACAGATAGCCAAGATAGATAGCCAAGACAGGTGGCTAAAGTAAATAGCCAAGTCAGATAGCCAAGAGAGGTAGAAGGAAATAACGAATATCACTCGTGAAAACAAAGAGTGAACATGCACTGAGTTTCATGAAGAACATCTGGATGGCATAAAAAAGGGATGCTCAGGAGAGCTGACCAATAGAGTTTTATTGGCCAGAAGTGGCAAGTGTGTGAGTGTCAGTGGCCATGAAAGGTGACAAGTGTGAGGGCCACACAGAGAGGCCATGAGAGGTGACAAGTGTGAGGGCCACACAGGCCATGAGAGGTGACAAGTGAGGGCCACACAGAGGCCAGACACGAGCAACACACCAAACATACACTACCTTTTCCTACGCATGGTGCTTTCACTGTTGGAAAATTATTATTTAAAAAGAATCTCATTAGATGGAACCATTATTTAAATTAAGCATTAATTAAAGTACCTTTATTTATCCGTCTTTAATTATCTTCTTGAGATGATAATTAAAAGCATGCAGTTTATGTAGCAAAATTATTGCAAAATTTTGTATTTATATATAAAATGTATATAAAACTTCTGTAGTTTATTGAAGATTATTTATTTTACACTAAAAATAATAAAAAGTTAATTTCTGTAGATATGTCTTGTGGATTTTTTAAACCAGCCCGGTCAAAAAAAAAATCTGAAAATATTTTTTTTTTCTAAAAATTATCTTATGGACTGAAAGATATATTTCTATTAATTAATACAGTATGAATATTTTTCAACCAAACTAACATAGCGGTCTAACCTAATCCAAATTAATCTCGCTGAAATTTACGTAAAACAATACAGATAAAATATCACCCAACATAGATTAGTCTGAAGTCAATTAAAGATATGTATTACCAGTGAAATATATTGGTTTTGTGATTTGGCAGATTGGTTTTGGCGGTTTAGGCTTGGTTTTACTGATAAAACGAACTTTGCTGACTAAGTGGGGAAGTTCTTGCTTTAAAAAAAACATTGAGACTTGTGAAAAACATTACGACCTGTGAAAAACATTACGACCTGTGAAAAACATTACGACCTGTGAAAAACATTACGACCTGTGTAAAGCATCACGACCTGTGTAAAACATCACGACCTGTGTAAAGCATCACGACCTGTGTAAAGCATCACGACCTGTGTGGGTAACAACACTTCGTTAGGACACAACAGACACTCCTCCCTTCCTCTCCCTCACCCCCCCCACCGCATCACTGCTGCCACAATCACCACTACACTGACCTCATTACCACCAGTGCAGCCACCATTACCACCGCCACCAGTACTACTAGCCACTATCTCCATTACAGTACCAACTAATATGACAATTGTAGTCACTTTCACCACCGTTACAGCTACTACCACCATCATCCTCACTACCACTACTACAATCACCATCATTACAACCACCACCACAACAAATACATCACTTTCCCCACAGGCAACTGCCACAAGAAATACAAATAACTCTCACCCAGTGCACCACAAACTGCCATAACATAACTACGCCACTACAAACTACCTCAACATCTAAGCCACCATATTCCTCAGCAAGTACATTAACTTCTCTCTGGCTTCACCTGATCTGGTCCCTGTCATCGATGTGGGTCGAAGCATCTTCGAAGTCAGAGAGCACTGCCTGCAGGGGACACGAACAGAGCTTGGCGTGTAGCCACTGGTAACTGAAGAGTACATGCTGGTACAAGTCTTCAAACCTCCTCGCTCGCACCAGATGGAATGGAAGCTCTCCGAACTGTGTGAGAGAGGACGGTAAAGCATAAAGAATATGTGTTGAGTGTATTGAGTGAGAAGGGTCTGGGTTTGACTAGTACCTGAGGTACTGAAGCAAATTCTTAGATAGCTTTGGCAAAAGGTTGGACAAGTGGGTGGGTGGGAATGGTTGGTTTTGAGAAGGATCTGCCTTGTTTGGGCCAGTAGGACTGCTGCAATGTTTCTCCATTCTCATGTTCCTATGTTCAAAGAGGGAATCAAGTCTCAGCGCCTGACCCTGCATGACCCTTGTCATGCATGACCCTTGCCATGCATGACCCCCGTCTCTTAACCGCAAACAGCAGGTGAGTGAGGTGATTGAAAAAAGGGTTCAGGCAAGGAAATCATAATGGTGTTGAAGGTTTGCAACACACACTCTCTCGCCCTTTCCTTAAGGTTAAACACGGCAACCTCGACTTCCATGCTGTAACAAAATTATTTTCGGCACTAGTAGTTGTAATGGCCAATTATCATTAGTCCATAGTTGATGGGAGCAAACTGACCTTCCTGAGGTTGTATCTGGTAACCTTTCCCTCCTTGTTGTAAAAGACGAGAGGCTGCGGAGGGACCTTCCTGTCTGCCAGACCTTCCTTGCTCTTCAAGTTGAATCTGAAGCGACACAACTTGATGGTAAAATTGCTGGTAGTTGACGGAGGTGAGGGCGATGGTAATAATGAGTCAGAATTTTAAGTTAAATGGGAAAATATTTACGGTACCAAGAAATCTAATATATAGATGCCAAATTAGTAAACAATGAGGGAGAGAACAGGAAGAGAGACAGAACAAGAAAAATGAAAGGAACTGTCGATAAAAACTCAAGCATTTATTCTCTTCTGTCTGTCTGTTTCTCTCTCTCTCTCTCTTCTTTTCTCTCTCTCTCTCTCTCTCTCTCTCTCTCTCTCTCTCTCTCTCTTCTCTCTCTCTCTCTCTCTCTCTCTCTCTCTGGCACTGACCTATGCCTCTGTATCTCGGTGTACTTAAAGGGTTTGGGCACACCTCCTCCCCACATGCCCAGGAAGTAGTCAGCTATCATAGAGTAGAAGTACATAGCTAAGTTCTGGTTGGTGAAGTAACGCTTCCTCGCCGCCTCGTTGAACTGCCTGAACGAGAAATGAACACACGTTAGTGTTCACAACATGAACACCGTGAACTCAAAATTCACAAGATGGGCACCGTCACGTCAGTGTTTAAACCGTGAACACCGTCAAGTCAGTGCTCATACAGCTGAACACGGTAGTATCAATGTTTACATTAACATTAATAAATAGAATAACACTTTTGTAAGCGGCAATCCCTAGTAGGATGCCGCTTACAAAAGTCGGCCAAAATCCATAAACCTATTTACTTCTGGGTAAATACGGGAAGCAGGTGTAAAAAAGACTTACTGTCACGTCTCGACCCCCATCCTCCCCATGGAATCGAAACGGGAATCTTTTGATAGTGAGCTGAACTCTCCAGCACCGAAGTATATGTTAAACTTGCAGACGTGAGAACCTTACCTGTGGTACCAATTGAGGACGGAGACGCCATCAGCCTCGCAGTCGGAGAGGTAGTTTGGCAAGTCATTCCTGATCCTGGTCCAGAGGAGGGGCGGGATGCGGCGTACCGGGGGCATGTGGTACTGGTACACGTCGTCCAGTACCTGAAGAAACATAAGAATGTAAGAAAGGAGGAAGACTGCAGCAGGCCTACTGGCCTGGTAGTGGCATTAGTAATGGTTAAGTTAATAGTATTAGTAGTATTTGTAATCTAATAGTAATAATTGTAGCCTCAGCTGCAGTAATAGCTGTAGTAATAACAGTAAAGGTTACATTATTAGTAGTAGTTGTAGTGAGATTAGCAGTAATAGTGTAGTAGTAGAAGCAGCAGTAGCAGTAGTAGCAACAGTAGCAGCAGTAGCAGTAGTAGCAACAGTAGAAGCAGGAGCCATGGTAGTATTATTAATCACAGCAGAAGTATCGGACGTAGTGTAAGAGTAGTAGTAATGACAGAGATCACAACAAGTGTAGGGAGTAGCACCTTATCATCGAGGGAGATAAGATCCTCCAGCTCAGACTCGGAGAGGCCGTTCTTGCTGGCGGTGATGTAGGCGAGGGCGTGAGACACCAGCAGACGCCCGTGCTGTGGAAGTGACACCTCTTCGTTATTATTTCGAAACAGTGAAGCCGCGTATGTGTACTTTATGCCACAGCCGGCCCACAACACTATACTTCCGTTTGGGATGTCAGAGGATAGAAGCTCTTGGTTGGTAGAGCGCTCAGCTCACACACTGAGGTCCGTGGTTGGATCCCCGGTACGGGTGGAACACGTCCAGTGTTCCACCCGTACCTAGCAGTGTCTACCTACTGAGGCTCGCAGGACCCTATGTCTAGCCCTTATTCAATGTCATTTGGACTACGCTTGTTCTTCATGGTACTCTGCCTTGACAGAAAAAAACTGAAAGATAGACTGCAAATCACCCAGAACAAAATGGTAAGATTCATCCTGGACCTGGGTCTAAGAGAACATGTAGGCCAGGATGAATTACAACAATTGGATATGCTGAATAATGAAGACAGAGTAAAACAACTGAAGTTAAATCAAGTTTATAAAATTGCTCACAAACAGTGTCCAGAAAATCTTGCTGCTAATTTAGTCAAGGCTGGGAACTGAAGCAGTCATAGTACTAGGGGGAGAGAGCACAACTTTGCAGTACCCACAGTCAGCGGCCAGGCTTCAAACATCTTTTATTGTACAGCAATAAAGGAATGAAACAGACTGTCTGCACATGTCAAAGCCAGTCATAGCATGAAGCAGTTCAAGAAGAGAGTCAAAAGGTGCCTAGTGAATGTAACGACAGAAAGGAAGAAGAATGATTTTTTATTTTATTAGAGAAAAAACATGTAGATGTAAATAACTATTTAGCTTATAGTATAATAATAAGATATCTCCTACATTGTATAATAATAAGATATTAAAAGGACCCCAATGGAAATAAGTCACTTTGTCTTTTTTGGGGTTATCTTAGTTTCTCTACATACATGTTGCTATGTATGATAATCCATGTGTATTGTGTATACCTGAATAAACTTACTAGGTACCTGGGTGTTAGTCGACTGGTGTGGGTAGCATTCTAGGGGCAAAGTTAACCTAAGTTGCCCGAAATGCTCTGCATAACCAGGGACTTTCTATATATTATGACACCCAGGTCCGTATATGTTATATCAAGTACTTGTAGAAATAAAGATTATTATTATTATTATTATTATTATTATTATTAATATTATTATTATTATTATTATTATTATTATTATTATTATTATTATTATTATTTTAACAAGTCGGCCGTCTCCCACCGAGGCAGGGTGACCCAAAAAAGAAAGAAAATCCCCAAAAAGAAAATGCTTTCATCATCATTCAACACTTTCACCACACTCACACATAATCACTGTTTTTGCAGAGGTGCTCAGAATACAACAGTTTAGAAGAATATACGTATAAAGATACACAACATATCCCTCCAAACTGCCAATATCCCAAACTCCTCCTTTAAAGTGCAGGCATTGTACTTCCCATTTCCAGGACTCAAGTCCGACTATATGAAAATAACCGGTTTCCCTGAATCCCTTCACTAAATATTACCCTGCTCACACTCCAACAGATCGTCAGGTCCCAAGTACCATTCGTCTCCATTCACTCCTATCTAACACGCTCACGCACGCTTGCTGGAAGTCCAAGCCCCTTGCCCACAAAACCTCCTTTACCCCCTCTCTCCAACCCTTTCGAGGACGACCCCTACCCCGCCTTCCTTCCCCTATAGATTTATATGCTTTCCATGTCATTCTACTTTGATCCATTCTCTCTAAATGACCAAACCACCTCAACAACCCCTCTTCTGCCCTCTGGCTAATACTTTTATTAACTCCACACCTTTTCCTAATTTCCACACTCCGAATTTTCTGCATAATATTTACACCACACCACTTAGACAGGACATCTCCACTGCCTCCAACCGTCTCCTCGCTGCTGCATTTACCACCCAAGCTTCACACCCATATAAGAGTGTTGGTACTACTATACTTTCATACATTCCCTTCTTTGCCTCCATAGATAACGTTTTTTGACTCCACATATACCTCAATGCACCACTCACCTTTTTTCCCTCATCAATTCTATGATTAACCTCATCCTTCATAAATCCATCCGCCGACACGTCAACTCCCAAGTATCTGAAAACATTCACTTCGTCCATACTCCTGCTCCCCAATTTGATATCCAATTTTTCTTTATCTAAATCATTTGATACCCTCATCACCTTACTCTTTTCTATGTTCACTTTCAACTTTCTACCTTTACACACGAACCCAAACTCATCCACTAACCTTTGCAATTTTTCTTTAGAATCTCCCATAAGCACAGTATCATCAGCAAAAAGTAACTGTGTTAATTCCCATTTTGAATTTGATTCCCCAAAATTTAATCCCACCCCTCTCCCGAACACCCTAGCATTTACTTCTTTTACAACCCCATCTATAAATATATTAAACAACCATGGTGACATTACACATCCCTGTCTAAGACCTACTTTTACCGGGAAGTAGTCTGCCTCTCTTCTACACACCCTAACATGAGCCTCACTATCCTCATAAAAACTCTTTACAGCATTTAATAACTTACCACCTATTCCATATACTTGCAACATCTACCACATTGCTCCCCTATCCACTCTATCATATGCCTTTTCTAAATCCATAAATGCAATAAAAACTTCCCTACCTTTATCTAAATACTGTTCACATATATGCTTCAATGTAAACACTTGATCTACACATCCCCTACCCACTCTGAAACCTCCTTGCTCATCCGCAATCCTACTTTCTGTCTTACCTCTAATTCTTTCAATTATAACCCTACCGTACACTTTTCCTGGTATACTCAATAAACTTATTCCTCTATAATTTTTACAATCTCTTTTGTCCCCTTTCCCTTTATATAAAGGGACTATGCATGCTCTCCGCCAATCCCTAGGTACCTTCCCCTCTTTCATACATTTATTAAACAAAAGTACCAACCAATCCAACACTATATCCCCCCCCCCTGTTTTTAACATTTCTGTCATGATCCCATCAGTTCCAGCTGCTTGACCCCCTTTCATTCTACGTAATGCCTCGCGTACCTCCCCTACACTTACATTCTGCTCTTCTTCACTCCTAAAAGATGGTATACCTCCCTGACCAGTGCTTTCCCTAGGCTTTCTTAACTTGTTTAACTCACTCCAAATTTTTTTCTTATTTTCATTAAAATTTCTTGACAGTGCCTCTCCCACTCTATCATCTGCTCTCCTTTTGCACTCTCTCACCACTCTCTTCACCTTTCTTTTACTCTCCATATACTCTGCTCTTCTTATAACACTTCTGCTTTGTAAAAACCTCTCATAAGCTAACTTTTTCTCATTTATCACACCCTTTACTTCATCATTCCACCAATCACTCCTCTTTCCACTTGCCCCCACCCTCCTATAACCACAAACTTCTGCCCCACATTCTAATACTGCATTTTTAAAACTATTCCAACCCTCTTCAACCCTCCCACTACTCATCTTTGCACTAGCCCACCTTTCTGCCAACAGTCGCTTATATCTCCCCCGAACTTCCTCCTCCCTTAGTTTATACACTTTCACCTCCCTCTTACTTGTTGTTGCCACCTTCCTCTTTTCCCATCTACCTCTTACTCTACAACTAAATAATGATCCGATATATCAGTTGCCCCTCTATAAACATGTACATCCTGGAGCCTACCCATCAACCTTTTATCCACCAATACATAATCTAACAAACTACTTTCATTATGTGCTACATCATACCTTGTATATTTATTTATCCTCTTTTTCATAAAATATGTATTACTTATTACCAAATCTCTTTCTACACATAGCTCAATTAAAGGCTCCCCATTTACATTTACCCCTGGCACCCCAAATTTACCTACTACTCCCTCCATAACATTTTTACCCACTTTAGCATTGAAATCCCCAACCACCATTACTCTCACACTTGATTCAAAACTCCCCACGCATTCACTCAACATTTCCCAAAATCTCTCTCTCTCCTCTACACTTCTTTCTTCTCCAGGTGCATACACGCTTATTATAACCCACTTTTCACATCCAATCTTTATTTTACTCCACATAATCCTTGAATTAATACATTTATAGTCCCTCTTTTCCTGCCATAGCTTATCCTTCAACATTATTGCTACTCCTTCTTTAGCTCTAACTATTTGAAACCCCTGACGTAATCCCATTTATTCCTCTCCACTGAAACTCTCCCACCCCCTTCAGCTTTGTTTCACTTAAAACCAGGACATCCAGCTTCATATTATTATGTTTATGTTTATTATTACATAGTCTTCATCTTTTCCATTCACCATTTTTCTTTTCTTTATCCTTGATGGTTGTGCATTTAGATATATATTATTTCTTTGTGTAACTGCAAAATTAAGTTTTGTTTACTTTTAGTAACTGCTAAAAAAAAGGCAGGGGAATATTTTGCAGTAAGTTTATTTAGGTACAGGTACACCCCCCTCCCCCCCCCAATGGAAATAAGTCACTTTTTCTAACTTTCCTGGGTTATCCTAAGTAATCTACACACACGCTGCTATGTATGATAATTTATTTAACTGTATTTATGTGTACCTGTACCTGAACTTACTTAAGTACAATTATCATACATACTAACATATGTGTAAATTACCTATGATAGCCCATGTTTCCTAACGCCTGGTGTGAGTTGCATCATGGCAAAGAGAATTAAAGAAACTAAGTGGTAAAAACTTGTATTTGTTGTCACAGTGATGCCTATGATAACCCAAGAATAATTATCTTCGACATGGAAGAAATAATCCATCACAGCTGAATTTCTGTAATGTTCGTACAAGATGCACTTTTGCAAATTCCTTATATGTAAAACATTTTGAATGATTAGGTAAACGAAAATGAAGTCCAACTATCAATCACCTACTTTCTTACTAATAGTAAGCAAATAAAACTACTAAAATAGCTAAGTTACCCATAAAATACTATTTTCTACGGAAAATACACTAAAGAATACGACTATAAATTTCAAGACTAACTGAAAAAAATTCTTGAGGCTGACACTTGTTTGCCGAGATACAGACCTTGACCTCGACTTTAGAGAAGAGCATCATGATGGAGTCCATGACATTAGAAGCGAGGTAGGTGTCCTGGGGCTTGCTGTAGCTCTTCCAGCGGCAGATCTCTGCGAAGACCAGCTTGACGAATATAGGGAGGGAGCAGCGGGAGATGGCGTTGCTCACCACTCGCCACTGGTAGTTGTTGAGGTCCCTGGCAGCTGTGTTCATCCACCTCCTGCCAACACACACAGCTGCACGCTCAAATACATAACTACAAAATAATCTATTATGATAGCATATCTTATCCAGTTGTACGTGAGTGGTATACAATACCGTCAAGATGATGAATTAGACACATGTGCCACGTCTGGGCATCATTATTCTTCAAGACTAAGGTGAGGGACTGATTACCTCGTCTTTTGTATATAGTTCTACAATGTTCACATAATGTCCTCGAATTGTATTTATAAACCCACTGCATGTCGAAATGTCTACAAATGAAGATACCCAGATGTTGCAAGTATCTAATTCTTTATCTTATCTAGATTTATCTATCCGATATGCCTTGCACAGGAAGGCATATCGGATATACTGTACTTTATAGAAATAACGTTTGTCATTGCTTTTATTTCTTCATGAATACATGCACATTTCTACTTTAAATTTAAATTTTTACAGTATTAAATGAAACAGTTTATTGGACCACCAAAACAAATGCTTCAAATCCCCGCCCCACTTTTCTTTTGCTCTACCCAAGCCCTACCCCACTCTACCCATTACGAACTCCACTCTGCCATGCCCAGCCCCACTCTACCTGCACCACTTTACTTACTTTATTATGTCCATGGCGAGGTCTTCCCCCAGCGCCCTCACCTCCAGGAACTGGTTCTCGTCGTCAATCATCCTTCTGAGCAGCGTGTAGTCTTTAGAGAGTTCCGGGTCGTTCTCCTCAGACACACAAGACACCACGATCTGCAGCCAGGAAAGAGAGGAAGGGATCACTCACCACATCGGATAGCAATCAACACCAGGTATTTTTTTGGAATGTGTGATTCTATAAAGTATTATAAATATTAGTCAAAGACTTGTCAATATACGCTTGGTCTCTGCGGGTTGTGGGTTATTAGAGATGTGAAAGTTGTAACTCTGGTGTCTTTAACTTTGAAAGTACAGATCACTAGCTATGTTTGGCATCTATGGCTTTTTCTGGTTTTAGATGCGCTTGTGATTCAAGATGGAGAGTCTGCGATTTTGATGTGTAGCTGTTTTAAATGTGTAAAAGGTTGGATGACTACGTTGGTGTGTACCAGCCGACAGAGAGACACACCTTGACGTTGGGAGGGAGCCTGGTGGGGATCCAAGACATGCGGTTGGCATCAGTGGCCCCTGTCACTTGGTCTACACTGTCCAGGAAGATGAGCAGCGGCTGAGGCAAAGAATGAACGATTGATGAACAAATAAACTTGCGCAGAAAAATCCTATTACAATTATGGAATACTGTCGCAACTCCTACGATTTTCACACTGCTCTCTCTCTCTCTCTCTCTCTCTCTCTCTCTCTCTCTCTCTCTCTCTCTCTCTCTCTCTCTCTGTCTCTGTCTCTGTCTCTGTCTGTCTGTCTCTCTCTCTCTCTCTCTCTCTCTCTCTCTCTCTCTCTCTCTCTCTCTCTCTCTCTCTCTCTCTCTCTCTCTCTCTCTCTCTCTCTCTCTCTCTCTCTCTCTCTCTCTCACCATCTGAGGGGTAGCGCAGTTCAGCAGTTCCTTCAAGTGGGCTGTGAGGGGTACTAGGTCGTCAGGAATGTCCTCAAACGGCAGCATGTAGTTGTAGGAGATCTGAAGTGTAGAGAATCACCGGGTCTTAATCTACTGAGGAAGAGTGAGACTACGGGAAGGAGGAGAAAGAGAGAGGATTCAATAATTACCTTATAATTTATGTCATAATTGTATAATTATAAGATTAAAGCATCAGTTGACACGGCATGAAGTATCGGCACGGCAACTGTACCAGCTTAAACGATTAAATACAAACTTAGAAGATAAGATCAAAACTTAGATCATTATACACTAACCTCGAGAGAGATACTAACTTAGAGAATTAAATACGAACTTACATTAGATATAATTGTGGCGTAATTTCGAAGAATTATTTTTTACTCAGTCATTTATACGCAATAATTTTGTTAGAACAATAAACACTGTTGTAGTGGTATTATATATATATATATATATATATATATATATATATATATATATATATATATATATATATATATATATATATATATATATATATATATATATGTGTGTGTGTGTGTGTGTGTTATTTATATATATATTATATATATATATATATATATATATATATATATATATATATATATATATAATATATAATATATAATATATTATGCATATATATAATATATATATATATATATATATATATATATATATATAATATATATATAATATTTTTTTTTATTATCACACTGGCCGATTCCCACCAAGGCAGGGTGGCCCGAAAAAGAAAAACTTTCACCATCATTCACTCCATCACTGTCTTGCCAGAAGGGTGCTTTACACTACAGTTTTTAAACTGCAACATTAACACCCCTCCTTCAGAGTGCAGGCACTGTACTTCCCATCTCCAGGACTCAAGTCCGGCCTGCCGGTTTCCCTGAACCCCTTCATAAATGTTACTTTGCTCACACTCCAACAGCACGTCAAGTATTAAAAACCATTTGTCTCCATTCACTCCTATCAAACACGCTCACGCATGCCTGCTGGAAGTCCAAGCCCCTCGCACACAAAACCTCCTTTACCCCCTCCCTCCAACCTTTCCTAGGCCGACCCCTACCCCTACCCAGAATTTATTGCGAGTTAGATTGGTTAGTGATATTATGATAGAGACGAGGCTCTGGGCTAACCACACACATGGCTCCAAAATAACCGCAGCCAATTAATGAATTAGCAGTTAGTCAATAAACCAGTCAAGCAGCCGATCAATCAGTGAATCAACCAGGTAGTAGACCAGTCAGTGAATCAGTCAGGTAGTAGACCAGTCAGTGAATCAACCAGGTAGTGGTAAACCAGTCAGTGAATCAACCAGGTATTAGGCCAGTCAGTGATCTATTTGGTCAATCTTCAGTTGACCTTCATCCATTATATTAGACGATACAGTTACCATTGACCGTGACCCACAAATTCTAACTAAATGAACGTAACTACCAATGACAATAACCAGGAATACAAATTAACTAGAGGCCATGCCCAGTGACACTTTTTCATCAACGCGAACTGGAAACTGGAACCGTTCAAAGAGAAACGTGACACGACAAAGTTCTAGGTACAGAGAAATGTTGCCACAATATAAGACTGCTCTACGCCTGTGTCTTCTTCAGTAAGCTGAAACTGTTCCCACGGAGAGAGACACAGAAATGTTACAGCACTACAGCCAAAGACATTTGCCACTAACGCTTACTAGAGAATCTAGACGAGCTAGAAAACTGTATGAGAATTCAAACGTAAGGTTATGTGATATTGATCTGAGGGGGAGAGAAGGGGAAATTGGCTGACATCTTTTTTTGTAGACAATAGCACAGATGCAGCTCATGGTTAGACGACATGACGTGGGCGTCCCATAAAGTTTATATAATACCTCGGCACCAGTGTTGCTGACAGCGTCTCCTGAGTCTCCCTCACCTCACATTACCAAGTGTTGTCTCCTGAGTCTCCCTCACCTCACATTACCAAGTGTTGTCTTCTCAGTCTCCCTCACCTAACATTACCAAGTGTTGTCTCCTGAGTTTCCCTCACCTCACATTACCAAGTGTTGTCTCTAGTCTCTCCTCACCTCACATTACCAAGTGTTGTCTCCTGAGTCTCCCTCACCTCACATTACCAAGTGTTGTCTTCTCAGTCTCCCTCACCTCACATTGCCAAGTGTTGTCTTCTCAGTCTCCCTCACCTCACATTACCAAGTGTTGTCTTCTCAGTCTCCCTCACATTACCAAGTGTTGTCTTCTCAGTCTCCCTCACCTCACATTACCAAGTGGTGTCTTCTCAGTCTCCCTCACATTACCAAGTGTTGTCTTCTCAGTCTCCCTCACCTCACATTACCAAGTGTTGTCTTCTCAGTTTCCCTCACCTCACATTACCAAGTGTTGTCTCCTCAGTCTCCCTCACCTACATTACCAAGTGTTGTCTTCCTCAGTCTCTCCTCACACATTACCAAGTGTTGTCTCTCAGTCTTCCCTCACCTAACATTACCAAGTGTTGTCTTCTCAGTCTCCCTCACATTACCAAGTGTTGTCTTCTCAGTCTCCCTCACCTAACATTACCAAGTGTTGTCTCCTGAGTCTCCCTCACCTCACATTACCAAGTGTTGTCTTCTCAGTTTCCCTCACCTCACATTACCAAGTGTTGTCTCCTGAGTCTCCCTCACCTCACATTACCAAGTGTTGTCTTCTCAGTCTCCCTCACCTCACACTACCAAGTGTTTTCTCTAGTCTTCCTCCCCACATTACCAAGTGTTGTCTTCTCAGTCTCCCTCACCTCACATTACCAAGTGTTGTCTTCTCAGTCTCCCTCACATTACCAAGTGTTGTCTTCTCAGTCTCCCTCACATTACCAAGTGTTGTCTTCTCAGTCTCCCTCACCTCACATTACCAAGTGGTGTCTTCTCAGTCTCCCTCACATTACCAAGTGTTGTCTTCTCAGTCTCCCTCACCTCACATTACCAAGTGTTGTCTTCTCAGTCTCCCTCACATTACCAAGTGTTGTCTTCTCAGTCTCCCTCACCTACATTACCAAGTGTTGTCTTCCTGAGTCTCCCTCACCTCACACTTACCAAGTGTTGTCTCTCTCAGTCTCCCTCACCTCACATTACCAAGTGTTGTCTTCTCAGTCTCCCTCACTCCACATTACCAAGTGTTGTCTTCTCAGTCTCCCTCACCTCACATTACCAAGTGTTGTCTCCTCAGTCTCCCTCACCTCACATTACCAAGTGTTGTCTTCTCAGTCTCCCTCACCTCACATTACCAAGTGTTGTCTTCTCAGTCTCCCTCACCTAACATTACCAAGTGTTGTCTTCTCAGTCTCCCTCACCTCACACTACCAAGTGTGTCTTCTCAGTCTCCCTCACCTCACACTTACCAAGTGTTGTCTTCTCAGTCTCCCTCACCTCACATTACCAAGTGTTGTCTTCTCAGTCTCCCTCACCTCACACTACCAAGTGTTGTCTTCTCAGTCTCCCTCACCTCACATTACCAAGTGTTGTCTTCTCAGTCTCCCTCACCTCACATTACCAAGTGTTGTCTTCTCAGACTCCCTCACCTCACATTACCAAGTGTTGTCTTCTCAGTCTCCCTCACCTCACATACCAAGTGTTGTCTTCTCAGTCTCCCTTACCTCACATACCAAGTGTTGTCTTCTCAGTCTCCCTCACCTCACATTACCAAGTGTTGTCTTCTCAGTCTTCCTCACCTCACATTACCAAGTGTTTACCATAATTATACTGTGATTATTATGCTTTTTTTTATTTCTGCTGTAATTACCTGGTTGGTCTTCATTTACCTGGCCAACTCACAGGCACACCTCACGCACTCGCAAACACAATTTCACGCACTCGCAAACACAATTCACGCACTCACAAACACAATTCACGTACTTGCATGCACACTTCACGTACTTGCATACACACCCCACACACTTGCATACATGTAGTGGGGGTTCGTAGGAGATATGATGATTGGAGTAAAACACACTTGTGGATGGTAACACTATATTGCAGAGTGTGAAGGGAGAGAGCCCAAACTGCCTGTCCTATCGCCTGCTTGGATTAAGGAGAACTGAGACCGATGTAGCGCTTCCCAGCACTCACTGGACAACCAACGTCTAGAGTACTTCAACCCACAATACACTTACAATCAACCAGAAGAAAGCTTGCATCCAAGCCCTATCGGTGCAAACAAGCTAAGGCAAGCCTCTACAAACAAACTCACTGACAAAACCTCATCGTCCACTAATTACTGCCCCTAGCCTTCCAGCATGTGACAAGCCAACGTAAAACCACGCATCCAGACAAAGCCTTACCTGGGTTTACATGGGATAATCACACAATGACCATCACCCCGTCAAACACCTGACACACGTGTACTGAAATGTTATCGCGCACAAAGACAGCTAGAGCCAGACCTCCCTCATACAAGACGAACTACACCTGCAACACAACACCCTTCACTATCTCTACTAGCACCTAGCCCTTCCTAATAAATCCTTGCTAAACACTGTAAATTAAACCGTAACGCTTACGGATGGCCTTTAACGCCCTGTACCTGCGATAGTTACCCCTCCCCCCCCCATCCACGCCCAGTTGCAGCACGACCTCCTGAAATCGCCATCAGCTCAGCACTGGTTAAAGCTGGTTCTTTCCCGCTAACAAAAACCCTCCTCTAACCAACCTATTCTCTCATCCCACTTCCATCTCACGCCCTTCTGGGATCTACCAGAATCATAGCATAGCCATTCCATGCTGATCACGTGACGTCATACAACTTGTCACTAGGCCTACAAAGGATCGTGTATCAAAACTATGATGGTAACTATGAACTCAGTAACTATAACACACAGAGGATCAGCAACTATGCTGACATACCAGCCTCACGCATCGCACCACACCTCACCACCTCGCTACTCACCTCACGTCACAAGTATACACACCTCACGCACTCGCATCTCACCTCAGCACTAGTATACACCCTCACGCACTTCGCATACACAACTCACGCACTCCTATCACACCTCAAGCAACGCAACTCCGTTCACACACACATTCACAAACAATCACAAACACTACTCAAATAACTTAATCGAGAGGAATTAACTTAACCTAGAATCATAGAGCTCTCACAGCATCATGGTCTGTTCTCTTCCAGTCTGAGTAAAACCTGGTGACCTAGGTAAGAAAGGAAGATCGACTGTTGAACAGATGAGTGAGGAGTGGATGAGAGCTGTGACTCCGCGATGTGCCGACGAAGCAATCACAGAGGGCATGCGTGGAGAGCCTAGCTAGCATAGCAGCGCACTTAGCCAGAAGGAGGTCTTGCCGCACACCCGCCCCATGCAGCAGCAAGGGACTCACCCGATGGTCCCTTGATGTATCCCTACCTTCTTCACACTCCTCTCACCCCGTAGACACTAAAAAATACGACAAGCAAAGCTTACCAGACAGAGAATCAAACACCTTACAAATAGCTTGCACTAATGACCACAACAATTACTGTTTATATGAATATAACACAGCATCTGCATTTTAAATAATAATAATTAATAATAATTAATAATATATTATTATTATTATATTATTATTATTATTATTTCACAAGTACATGATAGACGTATACAGACCTAGCTGACTCATGACAGACTATAGGAAGAGTCCTGGTATACAGATGTATTCGGCAATTAGAGTTAAACTTATCCCCCAGCGATAGCGACCTACATCATCACCAACACCAGGTACCACTACTGCTTCTACAGCAACAGGATTAGCAAGTGTAGAGTAATCACGCACCAATGTTCCCATCGTAAGGCATCGACCAGGGACATCAGGAGTGAGCCTGAGTGCCTACCATCAACGGTGAATTTCACCCTCACTCTAACCGGTCAGAACACTTAACTAAACCTAAGTAAAGGTTACATAGGAATCGAACCTTCATGCTTCACAATACCATTCAAGGTTTAGCTGCTCACCAGGGAATATAACAAAATAATATATAAAATAATAATAATAATAATAATAATAATAATAATTATATAATATATAATAATATATATAATAATATAAACGTATACAGACCAAGTCTAGACATCATGGACATACTCTATAGGATATAGTCGTTATTGGTAATATGAAGTAGTACATTTCGGGTCATTAATCTAAGAGTTAAACTGGCTATACCCGTCCATGATCGCGACACATTGACGTCACTAATTTACCCATGGACCTACATACTTGAGCTTTAAGTCAAGAAGTTAGCAGTGTTAAGGAAGTAGCTTCCAAATCCAAGGGCTCTCTTAATCAGGGAACGCATCAAACCAGGGACAATTCGTAGTACCAGTGGACTCCAATAACAGGGAATTCTCTAACCAGGGAGCTCTCTATAATCAGGGCAACCATTCCTATAACCAGACTCCTTTAACAGGACTTATAACCAGGAGCGATCCTTACAAGCTTACCTATACAAATTTCTAAACAGGAGCTTCTTATAATCAGGACTCTCTATACCAGGGAGCTCTATAACAGGAATTTCAATAACAGAGCTTACTGTAACCAGGAGCTTTCTAATACCAGGGAGTTCTCTAATAATAGAACTCTCATAACCAGACTTTCTAATAATCAGAACTTCTCTAAACCAGGAGCTCTCAAATCGGACTTCTGTATAACAGGAGCTCTTATACCGGGAGTTCTCTATAACAGGGAATCTCATACAGGGAGCTCTCTGTACCGGGAGCTTCCTATAATCCAGGAGCTTCTCAAACTCGGACTCGTCTATAACCAGGACTCTCTACTAATCGCGAACTTCTCTATAACCAGGAGCTTCTCTAAATCGGAACTTCTAAACCAGTGAGCAGCTCTCGTAACATGGAGCTTTACTAAAACCAGGACTCTCTATAACAGGGACTTCTCTATAACAGGGAGCTTCTCTAAAACAAGGAACTTCTCTATAACCAGGGAGCATTCTCTATAACCAGGGAACTTCTCATAATCAGGGAGCTTCTCTATAATCAGGGAGCTTCTCTATAACCAGGGAGCTTCTCTATAACCAGGGAGCTTCTCTATAACCAGGGAGCTTCTCTATAATCAGGGAGCTTCTCTATAACCAGGGAGCTTCTCTATAACCAGGGAGCTTCTCTATAACCAGGGAGCTTCTCTATAACCAGGGAGCTTCTCTATAACCAGGGAACTTCTCAATAATCAGGGAGCTTCTCTATAACAGGAGCTTCTCTATAACCAGGGAGCTTCTCTATAACCAGGGAGCTTCTCTATAATCAGGGAGCTTCTCTATAACCAGGGAGCTTTTCTATAACCAGGGAGCTTCTCTATAACCAGGGAGCTTCTCTATAACCAGGGAGCTTCTCTATAACCAGGGAGCTTCTCTATAACAGGGAGCTTCTCATAACCAGGGAGCTTCTCTATAACCAGGGAGCTTCTCTATAACCAGGGAGCTTCTCTATAACCAGGGAGCTTCTCTATAACCAGGGAACTTCTCTATAACCAGGGAACTTCTCTATAACCAGGGAGCTTCTCTATAACCAGGGAGCTTCTCTATAACCAGGGAACTTCTCTATAACCAGGGAGCTTCTCTATAACCAGGGAGCTTCTCTATAATCAGGGAGCTTCTCTATAACCAGGGAGCTTCTCTATAACCAGGGAACTTCTCTATAACCAGGGAGCTTCTCTATAACCAGGGAGCTTCTCTATAACCAGGGAGCTTCTCTATAATCAGGGAACTTCTCTATAACCAGGGAGCTTCTCTATAACCAGGGAACTTCTCAATAACCAGGGAGCTTCTCTATAATCAGGGAGCTTCTCTATAACCAGGGAGCTTCTCTATAACCAGGGAGCTTCTCTATAACCAGGGAGCTTCTCTATAACCAGGGAGCTTCTCTATAACTCAGGGAGCTTCTCTATAATCAGGGAGCTTCTCTATAACCAGGGAGCTTCTCTATAACCAGAGAGGAACTTCTGGGTTTATACTGTGCAGAGAGAGTAACAAAGTAATGTAATATAATTTCCCTAAAAGCAGGTTATATGCAACTGTAAAAATGTTACGCAGGTAATCTCTCATATAACAGCAGCGGGAAGCGTGACCAAGACCAGCTGGAGGAGCTTGACGAGCTTGCTGCAAGCATAATTCAAGCATACTGCAAGCTTACTGCAAGATTTCGCCAACTTTTCAGCTTTAAGGAAGAACCGGTGGCAGCGAGAGGTAATAGCAAGAACAATGAGGGAGAAAGGGAGGTAACAGCATGGACGAGGATGGAGGGAGGGAGGTAACAGCAGGAACGAGGAAGGAGGAGGGAGGTAACCAGCAAGAACAAGGAGAGAAAGAGGAGGAGAGTACCAGCAAGAACAAGGAGGGAAGGAGGTAACAGCAAGAACAAGGAGGGAGGGAGGTAACAGCAGGAACGAGGAGGGAGGGAGATAACAGCAAGAACGAGGAGAGAGGGAGGGAGGTAACACCAAGAACGAGGAGGGAGGGAGGTAACAGCAAGAACAAGGATGGAGGGAGGGAGGTAACAGCAAGAACGAGGAGGGAGGGAGGGAGATAACAGCAAGAACAAGGAGGGAGGGAGGTACCAGCAAGAACAAGGAGTGACATAAATGTATAAAACGACAGATTGTTAGTAAAACATAGCAACAGTAGGTATCTATCAAAGTTCGGGTACCGGAGGTAAAGCTAGTAGGAAACGTTGAAATAAGATACCAATGTTGATGTGTCTACTAACAACAAGAACAAGGAGGGAAGGAGGTAACAGCAAGAACAGAGGAGGGAGGTAACAGCATGAACGAGGAGAGGAGATAACAGCAGAAGAGGAGAGGGAGGAGACACCAACGAGGGTGGAGAAACGGCAAGAATAAGGGGGGAGGGAGACCGTGAAAAAAGTACTCACAGTTACGGAGTTCTTGCAAGCGTGCAAGGTGCTGCAGAATTTCTGTGATGATCTGTCCCTGGGCTGAGGAGTCTTCCTTGCGCATGGCTCGGTCGATGAGTTTGGTCATGCCCTTGTAGAAGTGGGTGCAGAACTCCTGCAGGTACTCACCGTGGGTTCTCCTTTGCCAGGCCCTCCCGACCGATCCACTCCACCGTGTACCTGAGCCGCAGGAAAAAAGGCAAACGCAAATAAAATGATGTAGGTTCATACTTGAATATCGTCTGGGAGTGGTAGCTGTGTTATGGTTGTGAGCTATGGAATGTACCAACCCAGTCTCATAAAAATTAAAGTCGTAAATTAGATTTATTCTAGCGAAGATTAAATAAGATTTTGTTCGGATTTTCAACCTCGGAGGGTTAGCCACCCAGAATAACCCAAGAAAGGCAGTGCTTCATCGAGGACTGTCTGTCTTATATAAATCCATTAGGGTCTTTAAATTTTGTCCCCAGGATGCGACCCACACCAGTCGACTAACACCCAAGTACCTACTTGCTTGCTAGGTGAACGGGGACAACAGGTGTAGGTAAACACGCCTGTTACCGGGTGATACTTGACAGACTCTTCCCCTTCCATCCCCACTTCATTCACGATAGATAACGTGCTTCATCCGTCTATCTTCACTCTCACCCACAAAAACAGAAAACAGACCCCATCCATCCATCTATCTTCAGGGCTCACCTGTGGTAATTAGTAGACTCTATCCTGGCTGGAAGCCTGACGTCCCTCAGGTCAGAGAGCAACTTCATGGCCTCACCATCAATCTGACGATTGACAATGTCGATGAAGTTCGCCGCTCTCCTCAAGTTCTGTAAGTTGATGTTGTTGATGTAACGGACGAGGGCAAGAGTGTGGTTCTTGGTGTTCTTTACGCTCAGGATCCCGTTGATCACCTCCCTCTCAGTTACTGAAAAGGCAGGTTCCTATTTATTATTATTATCATTATTTTTAATTATTATTATTAGTAGTAGTAGTAGCAGTAGCATGGTTGCTGCTATGAGTAGTAGTAGTAGTAGTAGTAGTAATAGTAGTAGTAGTTGAAGTAGTAGCAGTAGTAGTAGTAGTAGTAGTAGTAATAGTAGTAGTAATGGTAGTAGAAATAGTAGTAGTAGTAGTAGTAGTAGTAGTAGTAGTAAGTAGTAGTAGTAGTAATGGTAGTAGAAATAGTAGTAGTAGTAGTAGTAGTAGTAGTAGTAGTAGTAGTAGTAGTAGTAGTAGTAGTAGCATTAATAGTAGTAGTAATGGTAGTAGAAATAGTAGTAGTAGTAGTAGTAGTAATAGTAGTAGTAATAGTAGTAGTAGTAGTAGTAGTAATAATAGTAGTAGCAATAGTAGTAGTAATAGCAGTAGTAGTAATAGTGGTAGTAGTAATAGTAGTAGAAATAATAGTAGTAGTATTAATAGTACTAGCAATAATAGTAGTAGTAATAGTAGTAGTTATAGTAGTAGTAGTAGAGTAGTAATAGTGGTAGTAGTAATAGTAGTAGTAATAGTAGTAGTAGTAACTGTAGTAGTAGCAGTAATAGTAGCGACGTTAATATCAGTATTTTCACTACTTGTATTACTGTGATTATTACAATTATCACAATATTGAGAAGAAAGCGCTAAACTGGTACGGGTTCTTCAGTGCACCGCAGTTTCACGGTTCATTTATCTTAATAACAAAATTACCTTTATTAACTCTCCGACATTATCACTGCGCCATGTTGCATGTTGGCTGCAGCTGACATGTTGCACTCATGTTGTCTGCAGCTGACATGTTGCACTCATGTTGTCTGCAGCTGACATGTGGACATGTTGCACTCATGTTGTCTGCAGCTGACATGTGGACATGTTGCACTCATGTTGTCTGCAGCTGACATGTGGACATGTTGCACTCATGTTGTCTGCAGCTGACATGTGGACATGTTGCACTCATGTTGTCTGCAGCTGACATGTGGACATGTTGCACTCGTGTTGGCTGCAGCTGACATGTTGCACTCATGTTGGCTGCAGCTGACATGTTGCACTCATGTTGTCTGCAGCTGACATGACATGTTGCACTCGTGTTGAGTTCAGGTAATTTTGCTATGCTATAAACCCACGTGGGCAATGTTACTCACCTACAAGAGAGAGAGAGAGAGAGAGACAGAGAGAGAGAGAGAGAGAGAGAGAGAGAGAGAGAGAGAGAGAGAGAGAGAGAGAGAGAGAGAGAGAGAGAGAGAGAGAGAGAGAGAGAGAGAGAAAGCCTTGAGGTAATAATCTCAAGACAAATAACAGAGTTTTTTGACCACCACTCACTACTTTGTGATCGTCAATATGGCTTCAGGAAAGGTTACTCTGCTGCTGACCTGTTGTTAAACCTCTCCACTAAGGGTAGTTCTCAATGGAACAGAATCAGCAAGACATCCTATAGGAGCAAGTGTTCCACAAGGAAGTGTGCTGAGACGATTGTTATGGAATGTCTACTTCAATGACCTTCATCTTATCCCAGAATTCCATGCATGTGCAGACGACTGTACACTGACATTCACTTATCCAAGAGAAGAAATGCCAGCTGCTCTGAGTTACATCAATCACCAGCTAAGAGCTATATCAGTTTGGGGAAACCGATGGCAAGTAACATTTGCACCTGAGAAAACACAAATGATGATGGTCTCTAGGTACCATGATGGTAATGTCGGTGCACGAGTAAGTATGAATGGGAGGGTGTTGGTACCTGGGGGAAGAAGTTGCTATCCTTGGGGTGAAATTTGACTCCAAACTGACCATGAACAACCACGTTGTAAATCTTGCAAACAAGGCAGCCAGGAAGCTTGCAGCACTTCGCCGTGTCTCGCATCTGCTTAAGAGTAGGGGTTGCAAGATTCTGTACGAGACACAAGTACGCTCACACCTTCAGTATGCTCCACTTTCTTGGTTTTCCTGCCCCTCCCCCCTCATCTGGGACTGCTTGACAGAGTAGAGAACAGAGCAAGACGTCTCATCTCTCGCCTGGACCCATCCTGGATAGATCTGTCATTTCAGGAGAGCCTTCAACACAGGAGGGATGTGGGTGGCCTTACTGTTATGTACAAGGCCAATATTGTCAAAGTACCACACTTGGATCCACTTTGAGGACAGCGTGAAACAAGCTTTTATGCCACAAGACGGGCAGAAAGCAGCAACTTCACTCTGGCTGTACCCTTCTCCAGAACATCACTCCATCTGAGATCATATACACCCAGGATGACTCGAGTATGGAACACATTCGTACAGCATAATGATGTCAACGAGATAACGTCAGTTGATCAAATGAAAATGCTGGCCCACAGATGGCTCCAACTTCATCCTGTTCCTTACTTGTATGTCTCATAACAATAAAAATGTTTTCAAATGAGTTGATGTAGGTAACAGCTCTAGCTTGTCAATAAAGTTAGGAATCCTTGACTTGTATAGAGCTTGTCATTAAAGCTAGAGAACTTTAACCTAACTTTGTCAAATCCTGTGAAAAAAGGAGAGAGAAAGAGAGAGAGATCAAAACACGAGTGATAAACAATAGGTTAGTGAGTGACGTGAGACGCACAATGCGCCACACATGGCGCAGGTGACACAGTGTCCACCACGCGGTGCCCTCTGCGCTAGTCCAATATTGTATTTATTCCTCGCGCTAAACCAGTGTGGGTCGTTCACCGCGTGCTGATCCACTCACAGCATGAGACTAAATATCCTTCGCAGTAATGGCAAATTCGCATATAAAGACCCCACATATACAGTATATATATATATATATATATATATATATATATATATATATATATATATATATATATATATATATATATATATATATATATATATATATATATATGTTTGTACCATATTATGTAATAAAATATTCCTATTAGTAAAAAAAAAAAAAAAAAAAAAAAAAAAAAAAATATATAAAGATGGGGTGGTAGGGGAAGTGGAATATTCAAACGGCTTCAGGAAGAAATCCAAATATTTTTCCTTGAAGCCTTTTTATCCACTTCTCCGAGGCTGTGGGTCCCACAATTTACACCAGAGGTGGACCCCATATATATATATATAATATATATATATATATAATATATATATATATATATATATATATATATATATATATATATAAATATATATATATATATATATATATATATATATATATGATTAGTGGTTCACTCGCTCACTCGATTGTTTTCTCTGAGAGAGAGAAAAAAAGAGGAAACGAAATGTATTTTGTTGGGAGTCAATGCAGCAGTGTCAGTCCATAAGGGTGGCACTCCGTGATACTAACAGGTGATCTGCTGCTTTAGAGGAAGACGTGTGAGCAACTGCAGTAGTGGGAGTGTGGAGAGAGAGAGAGAGGGAGAGAGAGAGAGAGAGAGAGAGGGGGAGGGAGGAGTAGGAAGAACGAGAGAAGGTAGAAGGAAAGATAGAGGAAAGGAAGCAGAAAGAGAGAGAGAGAAAGAAAGGTTAGACGAGAATAAATAGAAGGAGGGAGATTGAAACAAAATGGAAGGTAGTAGAGAAGAGAATGAGGGAGATAGAGTGGAGAGAGAGAGAGAGAGAGAGAGAGAGAGTAGTAGAGAAGAGAATGAGGGAGATAGGAGAGAGAGAGAGAGAGAGAGAGACGGGTTGAATGGACAGAGAGAGAGAGAGGGAGGGTTTGAGTGGGGAGAGAGAGAGAGAGAGGGAGGGTTGAGTGGGGGAGAGAGAGAGAGAGAGGGAGGGTTGAGTGGGGGAGAGAGAGAGAGAGGGAGGGTTGAGTGGGGAGAGAGAGAGAGAGAGGGAGGGTTGAGTGTGGGAGAGAGAGAGAGAGAGAGAGAGGGAGGGTTGAGTGGGGGGAGAGAGAGAGAGAGAGAGGGAGGGTTGAGTGGGGAGAGAGAGAGAGAGGGAGAGAGGGAGGGTTGAGTGGGGAGAGAGAGAGAGGGAGAGAGGGAGGGTTGAGTGGGGAGAGAGAGAGAGAGAGAGAGGGAGGGTTGAGTGGGGAGAGAGAGAGAGGGAACTTCAAATTATACAAGCCTCCTCTGGGATGACTTCACACCGCAAAATAGCAAGATTATCTACGCTATCTGGCTATTGTCCCAGTAGATACTGCAGTGTTTGTGGGTATACCACAAGGGACAAAGATCTTCTTGGATGTAAAGAGCCTACTTGTTCCAACTACTGCCACACAGATTGCACTCCAGAAGAAGAATTTTGTTGCAGCCAGGTTGAAAATTTCAGAAAATTTAAGGATATCCATAATCCTGTGGTATATGTGGATACAAGCCTGGAGCTACAGGAGGAAGGTTCAGAAGTCCTACCTCAGGGACTCCTGTCCAAAGATCAAGACTGCCCTCTTGGGCTGTGTTGTAAAGTTGCAGCTAAGATAATCCATCACAGGGAAGCACTTCATGAGCTCCTCAAATCATTAGATAACCTACAAGCTATTGTAGAAGGCCAGTGCAAGCCTACATCAAGTGACGCAAGTTGCTCAGCTGATGGTGACACTATTGACAAAGACTGGAAGTCCCACACTGAGCTTAACTCAGGGGTAAACATCTGGTGGAATTCTGTCATCGCTAAGGTCCCACAGACTGACAGAGTTCAAAACACTACCTTTGGGAATTCTAACACAATTCCTCTGACCACCACAGAGGGAACAAATCCTCTGGGCTGTGGGCCCAGACAAGTTGAGCCCAAGATTGTTGAGAAGATGTGCAGACCAGCTAGCAGCACCTCTAACTCGCATCTTTCAGCACTGCCTAGTACAGTGTAAATGGCCCTCTCCATGGAAAGAGGCAAATGTAGTCCCTGTTCACAAAAAGAAGAGCAGAGCAGAAATCAGCAACTACAGACCAGTGTCACTCCTGTCAATCACTGGTAAGATCCTTGAGACAATAATCTCAAGACAAATGACAGATTTTTTTGACTACCACTCACTACTTTGTGATCGTCAATATGGCTTCAGGAAAGGTTACTCTGCTGCTGATCTGTTGTTAAACCTCTCCACTAAGTGGCACCAGTCACTGGATGAATCCAAAGTCAGCTGTGTGGTAGCACTGGACATTGCTGGCGCTTTCGACCGGGTGTGGCACCAGGGCCTCTTAGCAAAAACTTCAAGCACTGGGAATTGCAGGCTCTACGCTATGTCTCCTCAGTGATTACCTTCATGGTAGATCTCTAAGTGTAGTCCTCAATGGAACGGAATCAGCAAGGCATCCTATTGGGGCAAGCGTTCCACAAGGAAGTGTGCTGGGTCCACTGTTATGGAATGTCTACTTCAACGACCTTCTTCATCTCATCCCAGAATCACATTGCATATGCAGACGACTGTACACTGACATTCACTTATCCAAGAGAAGAAATGCCAGCTGCTCTAAGCTACATCAATCACCAGCTGAAGAGCTATATCAGCTTGGGGAAATAGATGGCAAGTAACATTTGCACCTGAAAAAACGCAAATGATGATGGTCTCTAGGCATCCATGATGGTAATGTGGTGCAGAGTAAGTATGAAGGGACGGATGTTGGTACCTGGAGGAAGAAGTTGATATCCTTGGGGTGAAATTTGACTCCAAACTAACCATGAAAACCAGTTGTAAATCTTGCAAACAAGGCAGCCAGGAAGCTTGCAGCACTTCGCCGTGTCTCGCATCTGCTTAAGAGTAGGGGTTGCAAGATTCTGTACGAGACACAAGTACGCTCACACCTTCAGTATGCTCCACTTTTTTGGTTTTCCTGCCCCTCCCCCCTCATCTGGGACTGCTTGACAGAGTAGAGAACAGAGCAAGACGTCTCATCTCTCGCCTGGACCCATCCTGGATAGATCTGTCATTTCAGCAGAGCCTTCAACACAGGAGGGATGTGGGTGGCCTTACTGTTATGTACAAGGCCAATATTGTCAAAATACCACACTTGGATCCACTTCGAGGACAACGTGAAACAAGCTTTTATGCCACAAGACGGGCAGAAAGCAGCAACTTCACTGTGGCTGTACCCTTCTCCAGACCATCACTCCATCTGAGATCATATATACCCAGGATGACTCGAGTATGGAACACATTCGTACAGCATAATGATGTCAACGAGATAAAGTCAGTTGATCAAATGAAAATGCTGGCCCACAGATGGCTCCAACTTCATCCTGTTCCCTACTTGTATGTCTCATAACAATAAAAATGCTTTCAAATGAGCTGATGTAGGTAACAGCTCTTAGCTTGCCAATAAAGTTAGGAATCCTTGACTTGTATAGAGCTTGTCATTAAAGCTAGAAAACTTTAACCTACCTGTCAAATCCCTGTGTAAAAAGGAGAGAAAAGAAGAGAACAAAAAACAGTGATAAACAATAGGTTAGGGTTTAGTGACGGAGACGCACGAATGCGCCACAATGGCGCAGGTGACACAGTGTCGACCACGCGAGTGCGCTCGCGCAGTCCATATGTATTATTCCTCGCGGCTAAACAGGGGTCGTCAGGACGGCGTCTGAGTGGCATCAAGCATGAGACGAAAGTATGCTTCGCAGTAAAGGCAAATTCGCATATAATGACAGACCCACAATATACAATATATATAATAATATATAAATTATTTATAATATATATATAAAATATATATTAATATATATATATTTATATATTTTATATTATATATATGAATATGTTCACAGTCGCCACACTTCGTAGTTTTTCTCTGAGAGAGAAAAAAAGAGAGGAAACGAAATGTATTTTGTTGGGAGTCAATGCAGCAGTGTCAGTCCATAGGGTGGCACTTCCGTGACACTAACAGTGATCGCTGCTTTTTAAGGAAGACGTGTGAGCAAACTGCAGTAGTGGGAGTGTGAGAGAGAGAGAGAGAGGGAGAGAGAGAGAGAGAGAGAGGAGGGAGAGGAGGAGTAGGAAGAACGAGAGAAGGTAGAAGGAAAGATAGAGAAAGGAAGCAGAAAAGAGAGAGAAGAAAGGTAGACGAGAGTAAATAGAAGAGGGCATTGAAACAAATTGGAAGGTAGTAGAGAGAGAATGAGGGAGATAGAGTGAGAAGAGAGAGTAGTAGAGAAGAGAATGAGGAGATAGAGAGAGAAGAGAGCAGGAGAGAGAGAGAGAGAGAGAGACGGGGTAGAATGGACAGAGAGAGAGAGAGGGAGGGTTGAGAGGGGAGAGAGAGAGAGAGAGAAGAGGGAAGGTGAGTGGGAGAGAGGAGAGAGAGAGGGAGGGTTGAGGGGGAGGAGAGAGAGAGAGGGAGGGTTGAGTGGGGAGAGAGAAGAGAGAGGGAGGGTTGATTGGGAGGAGAGAGAGAGAAGAGAGAGGGAGGTTGAGAGGGGAGAGGAGAGAGAGGAGGGTTGAGTGGGGGGAGAGGAGAGAGAGGGGGAGGGTGAGTGGGGAGAGAGGAGAGAGAGAGAGAGGGAGGGTTGAGTTAGAGAAGAGAGAGAGGAGAGAGAGGGAGGGTTGAAAGTGGGGAGAGAGAGAGAGAGAGGGAGGGTTGAGTGGGGAGAGAGGGAACTCATCCTGTACAATGAACTACATAAACAAAATTGTTTCTAACCACACTTTTCCAGCGGAATCTTCTGTATATCTTCTATTTTTCTTATTTACACACTCTAGATACACAAATAACCGGTACACAGGAGACCGAAACTTGTGACGATGTTTCGGACCGACACGTCGTCACAAGTTTGTCTCCTTCGTGCGGATTGTTTGTGTATTGTTCCGCTCACGGTATTGTGCCTTTTTTTCATTCATAATCAAGATTATTCGCCCACTGGATTTTAATTTGTCATTTCGTCAAATTAACACACACATAGACCTAATTCTAATATTATTTTGATCAAAGACCATCCACGTACGCATCCACGCACCTGCCAGTCCACACACTAAACTATCCACACACCCACTTAGCCACCCACCTTCCCAAACCCACCCGTCCCCTTCAGAGAGCAAAACACAGTACCTGACATGAAGTAGTTATGCATAGCTTCCTTGTCCATCTTGTGAGTGTTGTAGCAGGCCTGTGCTGCCTTCCTCAGTAGCTTCTGCATCTTGGCCAGCGTGTCCCACCATGTAGCCTGGTCCTGAGCCTGCAGCTTGGGCACTCTCTGTACCCACCCACGGAGACAGGCCATAGGACACGGTGAAGGAGAGTAACGGAGTAGCAGGGAGAGTAGTGAGGGAGGGAGGGATAAGGAGACGACAGGGTGATGCAGGGAGAGTAATGAGGGAGGGAGGGAGGGACAAGGAGACGACAGGGTGATGCAGGGAGGGAGGGAGAGAGGGACAAGGAGACGACAGGGTAATGCAGGGAGGGAGGGAAGGAGGGACAAGGAGACGACAGGGAACCAGTGAGAAATGTGGGGAGGAGACGACAGGGTAACAAGGAGAGTAATAAGGAAGACAGGAGATTAATAAAGGATGTATACAGCAAGAGAACAGAGTGGAGATGGTAGGGTGGAGAGTAGAGATAGGTGAAGGTAGAGATGAACAGAGGGAAAAAGAGAAGATGGAAGAAAGAAAGAGGGAAAGATGTGATAAGGAGAGAATTTACAATTCGTATGTCAAATGCATGATTGGTAAGTTGAATGGTTAATCACAAATGTACACGTAATATGCACGTTATATATAGCATTAGTTCGCTTTCTTACAGCCCCTTCCTTCCTTCTCCCCTCCTTCCCTTTCCCCTCCATCCCTCTCCTTCCTTCCCACCCTCCCTCCCCAATCAACCCCTCCACCTCCTCCCCAGCTCTCTCAGACCCACCTTGTTATTGAAATTGACGAGGATAGAAGAGATGGGTTGTAGGATGTAAACGAAAGGCACAGCGTTGGAATCCTTCTTGTACCAGGTATCGATGAGGATGGTATCAACACCCATGGTGACCAGAGCTTCCCGCAGCATAAGCAACTCAGAGCCCAGGATCACCGTGGGGATGGGGCGGTACCCGTACTTCTGACCACCGAAGAACTGGACAACACCATGAATTAGCAAAATGAGATCTATTCAGCTTAACTGCAGGTAATACTGCAGAGAGCAGCTGCAATAGTAGTAGTAGTAATGGTGGTGGTACTAGTAGTAGTGGTGTGGTACCCGTGCTAGTAGTAATAGTATTGGTACCAATGATAGTAGAAACAGTAGTAGGTTTATAAATGTATGTTATCAAAACCCTGTAGGTTCGAGCCTATGAACTCCAATAGCAGAGCAATAGTAGCAGTAGTCGTAGTAGTAGTAGTAGTAGTAGTAGTAGTAGTAGTAGTCGTAGTAGTAGTGGTAGTAGCAGTCGTAGTAGTAGTGGTAGTAGCAGTCGTAGTAGTAGTAGTAATAGTAGTAGTAGTAGTAATAATAACAGTAGAGTTCTTATACTTATTATTATGAGCATCAGCCAACCAGCCCCCTGAATTATCGTTGTTTATATTATATAAACGCAGTTATAATACTGTCTCCCTCCAAGAGGTTCTGTTGAACCCTGGAAACAACACACACACACACACACACACACACACACACACACACACACACACACACACACACACACACACACACACACACACACACACACACACACACACTGGCTGGATATCCTCCCGCACGGCTATTTATGGCATGAGATTGGCGTGAGTTCACAAAGAGATTTCATTCCGTGTTGCAGAGCTGTAAACGTAACAGAAAACTGCAGCCATATGAATCTTAAGCGTTAGTTTTGCGCACATTTCTCGGCATTGTTAAATAAAGGGTAATGCAAATTCCCTCGGTATAATTACGCTACACTTCTATTGTATTAAATAGCAGAAATAACCGAATCACCAATTTTGCGTACGTATCTGACAAAATTTTACGAATACGCGGAATTGGTTACGTGAAAATTAATGTTAATTTTGACGGCGAGAGAAGGAGCTTCGAAGTTTGACGTCAAGTTCTCTGATAATAGAAGTTTGGGGAAGTTGAAGCCGCGAGACCTTGGGCGTCCTCTCATTAGCAAGGGTCAAGGTCAACCTCGACAGGAGGAACTTTAAATAAGCTTAATTTAGTGCCTCCTCATATTGTTTGACAGACTATACACCGTTTACACAATCACGGTAAACAATACGCAGTTGTTTCAGCTAGACATGGGTTAAATCAAGTAGTTTACGATAAGTAATGATAACATAAGATAACCCCCTCAGATACGACAGTTTAGATGTTCCTCCGAGCAGCCAATATCCCAACTCCCTCCTTTATAGTGCAGACATTGTGTTTTAAAGGAGTTTACGTAGAGTATTAACTGTTTTCAAGAGTGAAGAGAGAAGCAGAGTTAGACGGAAGAATGGAAAGGAAACAGACTTAACAAGACAGATGATATAAAGATTCAACGTAATAAGAAATTATCTTTAAGATTTTGGCCAGCTGCTCTCGTTCTGTAGTTTATATTGACAGAAATAATAATAATAATAATAATAATAATAATAATAATAATAATAATAATAATAATAATAATAATAATAATAATAATAATAATAATAATAATAATAATAGTAATAATAATAATAATAATAATAATAAGAGCCAGCTGGCCCAGTGGTTAACACACTGGCCGGGAATTTTAGAGCCATGGTGCCAGACTGTGGGAGGGAGAGTCTGGGTGTTCATATTAATATTTTTGTTTTTGGGACCTGACGATCTGTTGGAGTGTGAGCAGGGTAATATTTAGTGAAGGGATTCAGGGAAACCGGTTATTTTTATATAGCCGGACCTGAGTCCTGGAAATGGGAAGTACAATGCCTGCACTGTAAAGGAGGGGTTCGGGATATGGCAGTATGGAGGGATATGTTATATATCTTTATATATGCTTCTAAACTGTTGTATCAGTGATTATGTATGAGTGTTGAATGATGATGAAAGTATTTTCTTTCTGGGGATTTTCTTTCTTTTTGGGTCGCCCTGCCTCGGTGGGAGACGGCCATGTTAAATAATAATAATAATAATAATAATAATAATAATAATAATAATAATAATAATTAGTAGTAGTAGTAGTAGTATTACTGTCAACATTATTATTATTATTAATATTATTTATTTTTATTATTATTATATTATTATTATTATTATTATTATTATTATTATTATATTCATGGAGAAGGGTCAAACCCGTAAGTCATAGGATGAATGAGGAATGGGACGCAATCTGTTTTCATCCAAGGAAGAGTGTAGCTCAATTTCCTTGGATCAAGAGCCCTTCACCACCATGAAGACATCCCACTTGAAGGGATACTGTAAGTGAACACATCGTCATAATGACGGTATACAATAAATATACATATTGACGGTACATAATGATGGTACGTATCACTGGTACTGTCTGGTCCACCAACGACTGTTACAATGTACTGGTATCATTACCTTTACAAAATACAGTTTTGTAATTGCAGTAAATCTTGAACATTTTTGTAAAATAATGTTGTAACAGAGAGAGAGAGAGAGAGAGAGAGAGAGAGAGGTGCCTTCATTCTGTTAAGTGGCTCTTGATTAAAGAAACTTATCCTGGCAGTCCTTACATGGAACGTGGTTACCTTCCATTCTTACCCCATGTTTTCTGTGACTCTCTACGGGTTTGGTGCTTCCCCATGAATGCAGCTATAATAATGGGGACCTTACCACGAAGTTGGGTCCCATGGAGAGCCTCTGGCAGTTGTCGATCTCCCTCATGCAGAGCTCAGTGGTCATGTGGTCATCAGTGGCCTCGTCCCTCACACCCCACCTCATATCCACCACCTGCAACAACATAACAACACACAGCTTTAAGGACAGGCACTATAGGATTCCATGAAGCAAGAAACGTGTGAAAACAGTTGTATGTAATTAAGAAACGGGAAGGGCTAAGAGCCGAAATCGGGCCAGGTGGGCCAGGTGGGCCAGGTGGGCCAGGTGGGCCAGGTGCGTGGCACTTACCTGGAACTCAAGACCGTGCTTCTCCCTGCAAAATTCCTTCAGTCTTGGGTACACCTCCGCCATCAAGGTGTTCCGCTCCATCAACATGTCTGTAACACATTGTAAGAGCAACACTCACGTTGAAACTGTTAAAAAAATATGATGATAACGGTGAGGATGACAGTGATGCAGGTAATGATGATGATAGTGGTAATTATAAAAATGGGGAGGATAATTATGATGACAGTGTATTAAAGTATTGTTCATATAGAAAAAAAATACAGAATCCTACTGATGATTGAAATAATGTATAAATTACAACCTTAAGCGTGAAGTTACAGAGATATATAACGTCAGGAGTAGTGTGAGGCATTAATTAATATTTGAAGTCTTATATAGAGTTTAATAACACGTGTATTCACAAACCTTTAATACAAGAATGTCAGTAAGAGACGTACCTCATATGAATTCGATTAACATGGATAAAAGGTTTGTTACTGAGGTGATATAATGGAATACATGGGACTACGTGGAGGTACATGGCAAAGACAGGTAGCAGACGGCTAGGAAGGCCACACCGAGGTTAACTGCTCAGAAGAACTACATACTTCTACGTAGATTAAGGAGTGTCGTGCATCATCTAGGTGTGTAACTAGAGGATGGTAAAGCAAAGGAAGAGGGAAGGTTGAACCTGAAGTGAACGACAGGTTGAGGTGGTAGAAGGTATGATTGAGGTGGAGAGCAGATGACAGGGGCAAAATTACGATGGAGATGGAAGGGGAAAGTGGAGGGAGAGACGGAGAGGCTGTGGAGGTTGTTTAGGGCAGAAGGGGACATACCTGTAAAGGTGGAGGAGGTGAAGATACGACACACCTTGGAGCTGACGGGTGGTAGTGTCTCCAGGCTGCCGGAGAAGATCTTGTCTACCGTACGATCATCCATCCCTCCCTCACCCCTCTCTACGGATAACAACACAACATAATCACTTCTCTCACTTAATATCATATTCATAAGGAAGCACTAAACACGGAAGGGACTTAAAGCGCTTGAAGAATAGGATGCAATCAGATATGATCTAAGGAATAGGAAGGCAGCTCATATTCCTCATCTCAACATCGAGGCGCCCTCCTTTAAGTTCTCTTACTCATAATTCTTGATAAGAAGCCAAGCTATCTGTTAGCCATATTAAATACACTTAAGTTCTGTTGTTTTGGTGACTGCAAATAGGAAGTGCGTCTGTCTGGCGCTCAGCAAACGGAGGATCAAGCATCCACTACATCTTGCGCCGAACGACCCACATTGGTTGAGCGCTTAAAAATAAATTGATACCCACAACTCCAATACTCCAATATAAATTTTTTTAACCGGGAGTGATTAAGAGCCAGAGTTCAGTATTTAGTTTAAATTCTTACCCTAGTATTGGGACTTTTGTCACCTTTTTAACTACAACGTTAACATGTGTTAATAACTACACCCTTAACATATGTTAATCACCCCATGAAGCTCCAGTACTGGTAAATCAGGTGTTTTGTGGCACCAGCAATACCTGTGAGTGGACAGTTTTCTAAAACTAACATCCGATTATTTTTCCGGCCGAATTTATTATCATTGTGTAAAATGATCTCCGGTAACATCAGAATTTATTTCTCGGCCTATTTTTTGTGTCCTCAGCACTACATAGCAATTTGTATCGACTATGGACAAAGGGTCCAAAGGTGACGCATGTGGAACGCCGCTCACAATTATGAATAAAAAGGCCAGGAAAAATACCAGATGTACAGACAATACGTTACAGACAGAAAGATCCAAGAATATACATAACAGTGAAAATATCTCGAGGATTATTTAACCCAGGAAAGTTATTAACCCAGGATAACCCAATAAAAAACACAAAGGCACAATACCGTGACTGGAACAATAAACAGATAACCCGAACGTAAGAGAGAGGAGCTTACCACGACGTTTTGGTCCGACTTAGACCATTTATAAAGTAAATGGTCTAAGTCGGACCCCAGTGGACCATATACAAAGTAAATGGTCCACTGGGGCCCTCTGCTAAGAAGCCACCTACAAACTTCAACACCTGAATAGCTATTTAATGCTGGGGAACATGGTAGTACATCTAGCCAAGCCTCGGGTACCGAACCTGAGACCTTCCACATACCCACAGAGACAGGCAGACAAACAGACAAACAGACAGACAGACAGACGGACAGGCAGACAGACAGAAATGCATTATTATACGTAGAATGAGGTGGCTAGACAGCATGGAAGGGTAAGACACCAGGTCAGGGTGAGCGGTAATGACAGACTTAACATTCTCCGTCAACACAACTAATGGACTCCCCTCCTACTAGACCTCTCGTCATGAAACAAACACACACACACACACACACACATTTATGACAAATCACGGGGTATTACCGCGCAAACACGCACCATCAACTCAAGCAAAAATAACACACATACACACACATTCCAGAACACGTACCTGGAAAAGAAAACACCGCACTTATAATCGAAAAACTGTGAGGGGGGTAAAAATAGATTCGCCTGCACTTTTCAGTAATAAGCAAACATTAAGGGAGGAAATTAGATTTCGCTTAGGAAAATTCTTAGAATAAGTTATTGTGTCAATCTCTCGTTAGAAGTGTGTGTGTGTGTGTGTGTGTGTGTGTGTGTGTGTGTGTGTGTGTGTGTGTGTGTGTGTGTGTGTGTGTGTGTGTGTGTGTGTGTGTGTGTGTGTGTGTGTTTTGCTTGCGTGTGTTACAAGCTTATATTACGTGTAAGTCCATGGTACAAGTAGAAAAAAGTGGAAAACTACATTCATGAGCCAGGTGTAAATTAGGGTAGAAACAGGGAGAGAGAGAGAGAGAGAATGCTAACAAATTACGCTAGTCCAGACACCATGAAGCAATTTTCCAGACAATCGATGTTCCGGCGGCGGTCACACAGTCGCCCTCTAATGCTTCCCTCAAGTATTTTGTGATTGATGCGAAGTTGTTTGGATAACAGTTGTTTCACGGGACACAGTGGTAAGTCAACAGCAGCACGCTGCACTCAACAACTCATATATAATGTGTATTTTCTTCACACTGTCTACAGAGAGTCAAGACGTGAGTACAATGACGCACCTTTTCAAGGTTGTTGTGTGTCTGATGTCCTTGCAAGGGAGGTGGATGCCTGCAAAGGCAGTTGTTAAGAAAAGGCTGTCATGTCAAGGATAGACATCGCTAGTGTCAGACAACCTCCCCACATCTCACTCCCCCACACAACCCCCACTGCTGTTGTTGAAGGACGCGCCAGCTAGGGAAGAGCAGGTAATCCCCTTAAAGGGTTCTGGTAGGCACCCCAACTTCCCTTTCTCTCTCTCCAAGCTAGAACGTTCTCACCCCACAACCCCTCCCCTGATTACACCATGTGCTGAGGCGAGGCAGCTACATTGTCTTTCAAGACAGCTCGATAATCCTTCTCCATGTGTCAGGGATTACGTGAGAGCAAGTGCTCGGACGTCTGCCTTAATAGTCGCTAATCTACTGTACTACGTATGTGTATATATATATATATATGTTTTGCATGATGGTAGGATTGCTGGTTTCTTTTTCTGTCTCATAAACACGCTAAGATAACAGGGATATCTTGCTACTCCTACTTACACTTTGGTCACACTTCACAGACACGCACATGCATATATATATATACATACATCTAGGTTTTTCTCCTTTTTCTAAATAGCTCTTGTTCTTTTTTATTTCTTCTATTGTCCATGGGGAAGTGGAAAAGAATCTTTCCTCCGTAAGCCATGCGTGTCGTATGAGGCGACTAAAATGCCGGGAGCAATGGGCTAGTAACCCCTTCTCCTGTTTTACAATTACAAAAAAAAGAGAAGAAGAAAAACTTTAATGAAAAACTTTATAAAATTTGGGTTGCTTAAATGTGCGGGGAAATGTAGTGCGGATGACAAGAAACAGATGATTGCTGATGTTATGAATGAAAAGAAGTTGGATGTCCTGGCCCTAAGCGAAACAAGCTGAGGGGGTAGGAGATTTTTTCAGTGGGGGGAAAAAATGGGATTAAATCTGGAGTATCTGAGAGAGTTAGAGCAAAGGAAGGGGTAGCAGTAATGTTAAATAAACAGTTATGGAAGGAAAAAAGAAAATATGAATGTGTAAATTTTCAAGAATTATGGGGATTAAAGTAAAGGTTGGATGCGAGAAGGGGGCCCATAATAAGCGTGTATGCACCGGGAGAAGAGAGGAATGCAGGGGAAGAGAGAGATTTTGGGAGATGTTAAGTGAATGTATAGGAGCCTTTGAACCAAGTGAGAGAGTAATTGTGGTAGGGGACTTGAATGCTAAAAGTAGGAGAAACTTTTAGAAGGGTGTGGTAGGGAAGTTTGGGGTGCCAGGTGTAAATGATAATGGGAGCCCTTTGATTGAACTTTGTATAGAAAGGGGGTTTTGTTATAGGTAATACATATTTTAAGAAAAAGAGGATAAATAAGTATAAAACGATAAAAGGGAGGCGAAATGACAGTAGTTTGTTGGATTATGTATTGGGATAAAAGACTGTTTATAACTTCAGGAGTACCATGTTATAGAGGGGCCACAGATATATCAGATCACTTTCTAGTTGAGCTACACTGAGAGTAAAAGGTAGATGGATACAAGGAGATAGAAGCATCAGGGAAGAGAGAGGTGAAGTTTATAAACTAAAAGAGGAGGCAGTTTTGGGTAAGATTTTAAAAAAAGCTATGGAGGATAGATTTGGGGTAATGAGAGCATAGGCAATGGGGTCGAAGAGGTATGGGGGAGGTTTAAAAATGTAGTGTTAGAGTGTTCAGCAGAAGTTTGTTTACAGGGAAAAATGGGTGCAGGAGGGAAGAGGAGCGATTTGGTGGAATGATGATGTAAAGAGAGTAGTAAGGGAGAAAAAGTTAGCATATGAGAAGTTTTTTAAAAAAAGTTGAAGTGATGCAAGGAGGGGAAGAGTATATGGGGAAAAAGAGAGAAGTTAAGAGAGTGGTGAAGCAATGTAAAAAGAAGAGCAAATGAGAGAGTGGGTGAGATGTTATCAACAAATTTTGTTGAAAATAAAAAAAAGTTTTGGGTGAGATTAACAAGTTAAGAAAGCCTAGAGAACAAAATGGAATTTGTCAGTTAAAAATAGGAGAGGAGAGTTATTAAATGGAGAGGTAGAGGTATTGGGAAGATGGAAGGAATATTTTGAGGAATTGTTAAATGTTGATGAAGATAGGGAAGCTGTGATTTCGTGTATAGGGCAAGGAGGAATAACATCTTGTAGGAGTGAGGAAGAGCCAGTTGTGAGTGTGGGGGAAGTTCGTGAGCAGTAGGTAAAATGAAAGGGGGTAAGGCAGCCGGGATTGATGGGATAAAGATAGAAATGTTAAAAGCAGGTGGGGATATAGTTTTGGAGTGGTTGGTGCAATTATTTAATAAATGTATGGAAGAGGGTAAGGTACCTAGGGATTGGCAGAGAGCATGCATAGTTCCTTTGTATAAAGGCAAAGGGGATAAAAGAGAGTGCAAAAATTATAGGGGATAAGTCTGTTGAGTGTACCTGGTAAAGTGTATGGTAGAGTTATAATTGAAGAATTAAGAGTAAGACGGAGAATAGGATAGCAGATGAACAAGGAGGCTTTAGGAAAGGTAGGGGGTGTGTGGACCAGGTGTTTACAGTGAAACATATAAGTGAACAGTATTTAGATAAGGCTAAAGAGGTCTTTTGTGGCATTTATGGATTTGGAAAAGGCGTATGACAGGGTGGATAGGGGGGCAATGTGGCAGATGTTGCAAGTGTAATGGTGTAGGAGGTAGGTTACTGAAAGCAGTGAAGAGTTTTTTACGAGGATAGTGAGGCTCAAGTTAGAGTATGTAGGAAAGAGGGAAATTTTTTCCCAGTAAAAGTAGGCCTTAGACAAGGATGTGTGATGTCACCG